ATGCTAAGAGGTTTGGTCAAGGACCAGCTGGTAGACAGGATCCTCATTATTCCAGTCAACCCAGCTGTAAATGGGTACAGATAATCTGGGAAAGATCAATGTCAAGAGGTTTGGTCAAGGACCAGCTGGAAGACAGGATCCTCATTATTCCAGTCAACCCAGCTGTAATTGGGTACGGATAATCTGGGAAAGATCAATACCATGAGTTTTGGTCAAGGACCAGCTGGTAGACTTGATCCTCATTATTCCAGTCAACCCAGCTGTAAATGGGTACGGATAATCCAGGAAAGATCAATGCCAAGAGGTTAAGTCAAGGAGCAGCTGGTAGACAGGATCCTCATTATTCCAGTCAAACCAGCTGTAAATGGGTACAGATAATCTGGGAAAGGTCAATGCCAAGAGGTTTGGTCAAGGACCAGCTGGTAGACAGGATCCTCAAAAATCTAATTTGTTATCTTTGTAACATGTTGATGATTCTTGGTAATTCTAGGATGTAGAGTTCAGTGATTGGCACAATGTGGTTCTATCCTGCGATACCTACGGTGCCATCAAAGGCGCCAGATTCCGAGATACAACATTTGAAGATATCAATATTCATGCTATAGCTCATAGAGAATTTGTAAGTAAACTTATGCTGCAGTCTTACCTTGACTTGACATATACTGTATATTTGCGATTACAATGCACATATTTTGACCCTAAAAAGCCTAGCCAAATTAGAGGCCTACTTCTGTTGGGGAAATTGAGCTTTGAATTGCAATCAATTGACAGGGATAAAATTTTCAGTTTTAGGAGCTGATAAAAACAATTTTACTACCCCTATCACTTTTCAAAAGATAATTTCAGGTTGTCAGTTAAAACAATATCAACATGATGTTTTTCTGTGTATTTTCAGTCTGTGTATATAACAGACATCAAGGTTAAGAAAGCTCTTAAAATTCCAACTGAGGATTCAGCTTCAAACATCCAACCAAATCAAACAAGTTCAGCTTCTTCACATGACAACCAAACAAGTGGGACTTCATCACATGACAACCAAACCAGTTCAACTTCTTCGCAAGACAACCAAACAAGTTCAGCCCCCTCGCAAGACAACCATACAAGTTCAGCCTCCTCACAAGACAACCAAACAAGTTCAGCCTCCTCGAAAGACAACCAATCAACTGAGACACCAGCTGATACTTCACAACCAGATGTAGCCAATGAGAATGGAGCTGACGATCATGTGACAAATCCAAACCAATCAACAACGAGTAAGAAGAAAGTGGACAGGTATGATTACCATAGTTACAAGGAGACTGATGAGAAGTGCTGTTTAGAGTTTATCGACTATCCGTTGGTAAGTTAAAAACCAGGAATCAACCATCCTTCACTGAACTAGAACATTAAGTGTTAATAAAGTAAAACGTCATAAACTCTTGAACTCCAAATAATATGAGTTACTGATACAATTCCAGTGCCTAAGGGACCCCACCCCCTCCTGGAAAATTCAGATGACTTGAATGTCTTTTTGAGTCATATAGTTGACGCCCTGCTTGAAAAATTTGCCTGCCGCCTGAGAACCTGGGCTGACTAAGGCCTGCCAATTTGTGATGTCACATGGTAATGGCAGCTTCAGTAGCCACTCCAGTATCTATGATAATGTGCCTGCTAACAACCTTTGTCAAAAATACTTGATGTATGGTTTTCGGAATTTTCATGATTTTTTTTGCAGACGGAGGTCAAGGCTGGTAGAAAAAAGAAGATTTCTGGAAAAATTGACATTAAAAAGTTGTCATGTTTCCCCATAGAGAGTCTGAGAGCAGTAAGTATTCCCTTGTCAGATTTCTTTCAATATTTCCTTGTGCAATGGAGCAAGGGCATACCACTGGAAGAATGGGTGTGGGTTCTTATCTTGATCATCTGGGTATTTAAGATAACAGAGTATAGGAAAGAATTGTCTATATGAATTTGCGAACTCTTTGAACACTGAGTGTTAATAAAATTAAACGCTATGTGTCTTGAATTCCAAGTGATACAAAGCGTTATGTGACGGATGGTACCAAGGTTTTACTAGACACTTGGGTATATATCATCTTACTTGGCTGGTAGAGCCACTGCTGGTGCTGGAAAGGTTATAGGGTCTTTTTAAGTGGAGGACTGAATTACTGAAAAATTTTGGTAGCTTATACCAATTTTTCGATTTTAGGCCAATTTCGAATCTATTACTCTTTGTCTTTTTCAGATCTCAGTGAGCAAGAACGTATTTGGTTCAACATGGCTGCTATCTGGTGGTGAAGCTGGGTTGCTACGGTTACACAATATGTCAGGTGTCATGGCCGACACAGGAAGACAGTATATGGAGGACAAAATACCTAAAGAATCTTGATGAAACATCTGAAGTCTAATTGTTGATGGGCTTGTGGTTTTTGTGGTCCCTTGATTCAATTGAAGAATCTTGATGAAGCATCTGGAATCCAAGAGTTGATTGATCTTGAGGCTTTTGACTTGGATTTTGGTCCTTGGATCCAATGAAGTTTGGATGGTGAGGTCTGATACCAATGAAGTTTGACTGGCGCTGAAGTCTGGAATGTTTTTCAGGTTAAAAAATGAAATAAGACGAATGAAGATTCCTTGTTTTTGGCATCTGAGCAGACATGGGCAATGTAATGCAATGTAGTATGCAGTGAGGGAAATTATGCTTGGACCTTCAGGAAAGTAACATGGCCAATATCAAACCAAATAAAATTTGAAAAAGTCTGAAATTTTTAGTACTTGAAGGTGCCAAATTACTGTAAATTTTTTGACTGCCGCCATGTAGAAAATGGCTATTTGAGGGGATGTGCAATAAACAAAGTAAACTTTTTGTAGATCAAAAAAAAAATCTTTTGCTCAGATTCATGTAAACTATACACCAAAATGTAGAGAAATGTGCCCTTTAACATATCTGAAAGTTTTAACTAAAAAAATCCAGCCGTTAATTTTTAAACACCAAAAATATTTAAAAACATTACGTAAGGTTTTTAAGTTTGTTATGTTTTTTGAAAGCTGTTAGAAAACTACTGTACAGGTTTGAGGAAAATAAACGCCTAATTGTAGAGAAATATATCTTCTACGTATTCTAAAGATTTTAACTAGGTCAAACTGCTTAATTAACAATTAGTACTCTCTGTTTTTAATCACCCCTTTTAAAACAAATTCAGTTTGATCAAGTAGATACATAGATATAAATAACATACTTTAGAAATATTTTCAGGTATAATTTACGCATTTTGGTTATGAAAACTTTTTACAAAAAAGCAGGATCTCTCTTTATAAGGGTGTTAAAAGTTTCAAGCTTACAGTTGAAAATGAAATCACAATAATGAATTACAGAGACTTCAATCTTTAATGAGTGCTTATTTGATATGAAATATTCTGGCATGCAAAGGCTGTTCAGTTGTTTCAGGAACTGTGAGAGTCGTTTCAAAATTGCTCATGTGTTGTTTTGCTGAGTGCTGTCCTGAACTTGAAAAGGCATTATTCATTATTATACTATGAATATTATCATAATAAATTATTTCATTATCATCTGTATCATGTTTCTTTGTAACATTATCATTATCATCTGTATCATGTTTCTTTGTAACATTATCATTATCATCTGTATCATGTTTTCTTTGTAACATTATCATTATCACCTGTATCATGTTTCTTTGTAACATTATCATTATCGTATGTATCATGTTTCTTTATATATCATTATCATATGTATCATGTCTCTGTAACATTATCATCTGTATCATGTTTTCTTTGTAACATTATCATTATCATATGTATCATGTTTTCTGTAGTATTATCATTATCATATGTATCATGTTTCTTTATATATCATTATCATATGTATCATGATTCTTTGTAGCATTATCATTATCATATGTATCATGTTTCTTTATATATCATTATCATATGTATCATGTTTTCTGTAGTATTATCATTATCATGTATATCATATTTCTCTATTTCATTATCATTATCATATGTATCATGTTTTCTCTGTAGCATTATCATTATCAGATGTATCATGTTTCTTTATATATCATTATCATATGTATCATGTTTTCTCTATATCATTATCATATGTATTTTGTCCCTGTAGCATTATCATATGTATCATTTTTCTTCTTTATATAAAATCATGGATTGGGATATTTGAAGAATTTTGATTTTTAAGATATTTTGATGAATTTTGAAATGGTATGGTCACTTCTTAAATGTATTTTTTTTCACTAATTTTGCGTTTCTTTCATTTGTTATTTTCCCTATAATTTATTGTTATTGTTTATATGTATATAGCTTCCTTGTTATTTTTTTATTCATAAGATTTAATTTAATAACTCCACGACTTCTGGTTTAAAGGAAAGAGTTATTTGCCCTTCATTTGCTTTGTTTATTGATATTGGTGAAAGATTTTACTAAGTGCTCTGGAGGGTAAGAAGGGTGCGTAATATACATGCCTGCGTACTATATTCGGAATTATACAGTATATATAAAGGGTCATATGGAATAGAGAATCTTTCCGGTGCGTCAGAATTTAAACTCAATTTGAGTTAGTAGAGAGGAAATTTTGAGGTTAAAGGGACAAGTGTGCCTTTTTGGCTGGTACGACTTTTTTTTATATATCACACAGTAGCCTATATTAAAATGACGAGTCGTCATTTTTAACGTTCAAACAGAAAATACTGGACACACTTGGATTTGAAGGCTCAAATTTCGATTAGCTCAGCTAAACAAAATTCCCGTTTCTGAGACTAGAGTATGATTGGTTAAAAAAATCGTGCATCTGTCCCTTTAAAAAGACTGATATTTTCCAACAATAAAAGCTTAATTTATGCTCATAGATTGAAATATCGCGCAAAGTTCGGATTGAATACTTGTTGTGGTCTGTGTCCAATTTTGTTCAAAGTAGTTATCTGCCCTTGCCGAGTTTCTCGACTTCCGTTGTAGAAGTAAACAAAAAGTTTCCGATTTTGACATTTTTATGAAATATTTCTGTCAAAATGGCATCGCAGCACAAAATTCAGGCGTACATGGACAAGCACAGAATTGAAGTCATGTTTGAGGTAGGTTTTTCGTCTTACCTTTTTTTTCAATGTAGAATTGCTTAAAAATATCGACTGCAAAAGCCAAAAAAAAAAAGGAGGCGAATTCAAGTTTTGACATGTTTATGTCTATATCCACTGAAGATTCCTAACATAATGGCATCCTCTCGAAAGCACTGACACTGGCAGCATCTAATAATTTCCCTAAGGCCCTCCCTAAACTCCTCAAGCTTTTGAACCAACCTGTATTCGAGTGAATGAAATGCACTCAAAACTTGACACTTAGTTTTCCACATGCCTGCCTCCATCATTGTTGTATTGCATTATCCTTAGTCCCTAATTATTGTTCACTTTCATGAGCACCACTAGTCGTGTCAGCAGCTTTCTGATCCAAATTTGAAACCAATTTACTGTTACCTTACATGTTAAAAAAAACACTATGAATTCTAAATCAGACAATTTTATGGATTGATATTTCTAGAATATTTTTTGGAATCCTGGTTGTATTTTCAGGATTTAATGAATAAAGTATTGAGAGACATGCCAGAAGACCCTAATATATATCTCCTACGTGCCTTGTATAAAAAATCAGGCATGGAAATTCCACAGGTAGCGTACATTTTTATAAAGAGTTTGCTTGACAATATAAAATTGTTAAAGGGACAGATGCGCCATTTTTTGATCAATCATACTTTAGTCTCAGAAACTGGAATGTTTTACTGAGCTAATCAGTAATAGTGTTCACAGTTCACTGTCGAAATTTGAGTCTTCAAAAATCCATGTGTGTCCAGAATTATCTGTGTTTGAATGTTAAAAAGACAACATGTCAATCAAAGACATCTATAGAAATAGTGAGTAAAATTCCTAGTTTGAGATATTTTTAGGAATTATGTGATTTTTGTACATTTCTAGTACTTCTGAAGACTATTTACATATATTCAAGACAAAAGTCAAACCCCCAAAATTGCGCATCTGTCCCTTTAATTAGGAATTGTAGTTTGACGTATGATAATACCAGTAAACTTACTCTTCATGCTATTGTTTTTGCAACGTTACATTTTTCAAGAAAATTTCCATTAAATGCTTCACAAATGAAAACTAAATAATATAGGCTTACATTCCTTCAGTCCCGTGGCCAGGAATAAATTGGTGCTGGGGCTCAGATTTTGTACTTCGAAAATTTGAAGAAATAAATAATACCAAGAGTGAGAGAACTCATCTCTGAGAATTTTGAGCTGCCAAAAACGTATCAAAATCTATATCTTTTTGATGCCTCCAGATCCTTGTTTTGGGCCTAGAGCTACTATTTTCATCTGTGTTATTCAATTTTTCAGGAAATTCGTTTTGGAGGTATGAGAAAAAGTACAGACTTCGGTAAGAAATATTTTGGTTATAGAAGTTGAAAGCAGATACTGCCCCTGGCATCAGAGGTCTTATTATCATGAAGAGGGTTTAAAGGGACAGGTGTGCCATTTTCGGGGGTTGATTTGAGTCTTGAATATATGTAAATAGTCTTTGGAAACACTAGAAATGTACGAAAATCTCATAATTCCTTTAAAAATATCTCAAACTAGGAATTTTACCCACTATTTCTATAGATGTCTTTTCTATATATCACAGAGTATCTTAAATTGACGAGTTGCCATTTTAAATTTCAAACATGGATAATTCTGGACCCACATGGATTTGAAGACTCAAATTTCGACAGTGAGCTGTGAACACTATTATTGATTAGCTCAGCTAAAAAAATTCCTGTTTCTGAGACTAAAGTATGATTTGTCCAAAAAATGGCACATCTGCCCCATTTAAACCTGTGGCACTTAATCGCTTAGCAGACGACAATCAAACTATCTGGATATTCTTTATTCAAATTTGACGTTTTATTGACCAATTTCGCATACAACTAAATTATTTACAAGGTTTCATTTTTCATTTTTATTTTAACAGTCTATTAAAAATTAGACCCAACTTTCGTTTCATGTTTTTTTCTTAGTTTATATTTTTAGTTGGGTCTATCGACCGCAGTCGTCAAATCAACGAAAGCTGGCCCTAGTTTTAATTAGACTGATTAATTTAAATGATTTGAAATTTTTAATAAGATATTTGATAATATTTTCAGGGAGATCTCGTACACCAGATAGAGGAAGAAAAGGTCATACATCGTCCAGTACAGGTAGGCTCAGTACACAGTACAAGTAAAATCGTATCCCGAATACGGGTTTTGACATGGTCTTATTAACCCGTATTAAACTAAGCACATTGTACTTCGTTTTGGGGCGTGGAAATGAGATGGGTGCTATTTAAATCTAACCAATCAGATCGGTAGAACAGAAATGAGGTCATGTAAACAAAATACAACATCGCTTTACCGCCGCTCGTTTGAAGAGATTAGAAAACCTCCTTTCCAAGTAAATATTCCAAAGTAAGGTTTGATTTTCTCTTGTCTTCAATTCTTTAACGAAAATCTTACTCAATTCTGTACCGTACATATTCATCAAAATATATAATGGTACGCTGCTTTCGTTTTGTTTACGTTCACAAACAAAGCGTCATAACGAGTGATTTGTTTTGATTGGCTGAAATTTGCTACCAATACTGTATGGACAATTTTGATTGGACGATATTTAGCTATGAATACGTGATTTCTCTCACTTGTAATACCACGGTTGCGAGGAAGTATGACGAATGGGGGCGTGGTTTGGACATGATGGCTGAAATTTACTACCAATACAGTAGGACAATTTTGATTGAACGGTATTTAACTATGAATAAGTAATTTTTTTCACTCGTGTCACCACAGGGGTGTGGTTTGGACACTATTTACATGTCCAGGAGGGGGCAGTGGTAGCTTGGGTTGCAGGAAGGTAGAAATAGCAGGGGGGTATTTAGGGTGTGTTGCTTCAAAACTTTTCTAATGCATACTAAAAAAAAAGCTTTGAATTGATGTATTTGAAGTCTTCATTTATTTTTTTAAAGGGACAGGTGCGCCATTTTGGGAGATTGATTTTAGTCTTGAATATATGTAAATAGTTTTCAGAAGTACTAGAAATGTACGAAAATTGCATAATTCCTTTAAAAATATCTCAAACTAGGAATTTTACTCACTATTTCTATAGATGTCTTTTCTATATATCACAGTGTCTCAAGAAATTTCGACATGTCTTTATAACTTTCAAACGCAGATAATTCTAGACACATGGATTTGAAGGCTCAAATTTTGACTGTGAGCTGTGAACACTATTACTGATTGGCTTAACTTAAAAATTCCTGTTTCTCAGACTAAAGTATGATTGGTCCAAAAAATGGCGCGCTCATCCCTTTAAATTGCAGTTGTCTCCATTTCTCTTTTATTTTATCAAAGACTTAGACTAAAAACTGTTTTTGGGGCTCTGATATCTTTTTGTGTGTGAGTGTTTCTATATGAATCTATTATAGATGATGGTTTAAACCGAGCCTATGATAAACCATGGAAGACCTCACCTTCACCTAATAGAAGATCTGGTACTAAACCTAAACTAGACGACCAAAGACCTGGTAGGTTAACCCATTCTGACCACTGAAGACTGCCATTGGGCCAAGGATATAGCATCTTTATAATGTCAAGCTATTATGAACCGTGTCTTAAACCTTGACATCATTAGGCACTTTTCTTGTATCACTGAGGGTTGTAAATGCAGCGATTTGATTGGATGGTATGTGAAGGAATACAGCGAATCAGAGACCTTAACAGAAAGTCTATGAGCCATAATGTTTACAGTCTGTCGGTTAAGAACTCTGATTGGCTGTATTCACTGGCGTACAATCCATTCAAATCTATGCATTCAATGAAACTAGAATGGTGGCTATTGCAGTCAAGGTATAAAGGCAAAGTTTGTAATAGAATGACATTGTGAAGATACAAGAAAGGTGGCTATTGCAGTATTGAAAGGGTTAAAGGGACAGGTGCGCCATTTTCGAGGTTTGATTTGAGTCTTGAATGTATGTAAATAGTCTTCAGAAGTACTAGAAATGTACAAAAATCATTTAATTCCTTTAAAAATATCTCAAAATAGGAATTTTACTCACTATTTCTATAGATGTCTTTTCTATATATCACAGTGTCTCAAGAAAAGACGAGTCGTCATTTTAACTTTCAATCGTGGATAATTCTGGACACACATGGATTTGAGGACTCAAATTTTGACAGTGAGCTGTGAACACTATTACTGATTGGCTTAGCTAAAAAATTCCCGTTTCTGAGACTAAAGTATGGTTGGACAAAAAAATGGGGCACCTGTCCCTTTAAAGCAAATTTACAAATTAACCCTCTCCTATCCAAATTTTATTTCAGTGAAGAGAAATGGTCAGAAATCTGATTGGAATACTGATGTAAGGGTTAAATCTACCTCCTTTGATGATTTATTTGAAGATCAGAGTCAGCCACGTAGAGAGGTTCCCATAGCAACCAAAAAACGTGACCAGTCCCCTGATAAGCGCACATCCTGGGCATCCATTGGCTTTGGCGTAAGTGTGGGTCTTTTTTAAGGGGACCTTACGGCAATTTTTCCTCCATTTTGAAATTCATTTCTGAAAGGGAATCTGGAGTTGTCAATCCAGTTGCATAGTGGCTTCAAGTGTTGCCATATTTTGCTTATATTGCCGACCATTCCAAGCTAAGCCCTGATGATTGGTCCTATATTCCAAACACGTGTTGACTGCACGAGAGGGGATTCATTTGTCTTTTGATTTGTGAACAAAAGAATTTCATTTGTTTTGTTTTTTTACAGAGTGAAAAGACAAACGTGTATTCTAGTAATAACTACTCTGGTCCTAGAGGTTCACGTTTCCATGACGATGACCCCTTAGCTAATGAACTTCGACCTGTAGCATCGTCACAGAGTGAAAGCAGGTCACAGAGATCACAAGTGAACTCAAGGTACGTCCATTGATTTGGGTTTCAGAGTGTTATTCTGCAATTTTTGATGAAATTTGGGGGATTTATTTTGCTAAATGTAATTTTTTCTCAAAATGTAAACAAGTACATAAGTTTACTTTAAAGGGACAGATGTGGCATTTCGGAGGTTGATTTAAGTCTTGATTATATGTAAATAGTCTTCAGAAGTACTAGAAATTTACAAAAATCACATAATTCCTTTAAAAATATCCCAAACTAGGAATTTTACTCACTATTTCTATAGATGTCTTTTCTATATATGACAGTGTCTCAAGAAAAGATGAGTCGTCATTTTAACTTTCAAACGCGGATAATTCTAGACACACATGGATTTGAAGACTCAAATTTCGACAGTGAGCTGTAAACACTTTTACTGATTAGCTTAGCTAAGAAAAAGCCTGTTTCTGAGACAAAAGTATCGATTGGTAAAAAAAAATGGCGCATCTGTCCCTTAAAGTTCACAAAGATACTATCTACCAGTTGGTCCTACTATATTTTACAAGGATAACAACTTAGGTTTACAACGAATCCTTCCTACCAGCTGATCCTTGATCAAACCTCTTGGCATTGATCTTTCCTGGATTATCTGTACCCATTTACAGCTAGGTCAACTGGAATAATGAGGATCCTTTCTACCAGCTGGTCCTACACCAAACCTCTTGGAATTGATCTTTCCTGGATTATCTGTACCCATTTACAGCTGGGTTGACTAGAATTATGAGGATCCTTTCTACCAGCTGGTCCTTGACCAAACCTCTTGTCATTGATCATTCCCAGATTATCTGTACCCATTTACAGTTGGGTTAACTGGAATAATGAGGATCCTTTCTACCAGCTGGTCCTTGACCAAACCTCTTGGTATTGATTTTCCTGGATTATCCGTACCAATTTACAGCTCAGTCAACGGAAATAACAAAAGAAACTGACTTTAAGGTCACCAGTCTTTCACATGCCTGTCTGAGATTAGAACCCACAACCACCATAAGTAACCAAGTAAATGAAGGATCCACAAGATTAATTCTATGTTTTTTTTCTGTAGTGGCCATATAAAAGGACCAAGAGTGTCAGCTAAGAAACATCGTAAAGATCTTCAGAAGCTCCTGAACAAGTCAGATGATTCAGGATATGATGCTGATGACACACCTGCTCAAGCTGAAGATGATGAGGCCATAGAACTATTAGGTAGGTAGCTGTTCTATTATCTTCGAGAACTGACAGTCCCATTTGCAGAGTGGATTCAGTGTTCAGGAACATTTTTTGGAAAACTTAACGTAAGATGATTTTAGTGTTTCAATCATCTGATTGGTCAATCACTAAAATGGATTTTAAGGTTAGTTTTATTATCCAATCAGTTTAAGGCTCCAGGATGCAGTATGACAAAATTAAGTATGTGGACTCTAATAATCAGCTGGGATGAAAAGGGATAATCACAGTTTCAGAATGGCAACAGGTGTTCCTGAAGTGGTAAATGATAAAGTTGTCCACTAAGCTTGTAAGACAATGTGGACTCTACAAAGGGATGCTTGAATCAGCATCTCAGTCGCAGAATGTCAAAAAACGCCATCCAATTTTGAAAATTCTTTGAAAATTTGTATGTTCACATTAACTTCAATTTGTTGATATTTATGATGTAGAGGATTCTGAAGAACTATTAAAAGAAGGAGCTCGAAATGTTTCTAAAGAAGGTTTTAAACTCAGTCGGGTAAGATTTTATGATTTTTGTTGACGTGGAAAAAAATGGATTAAGATCTGTGAGATGGCTAAAAGACTTTTGTTAATGCTGAAAAGATTTGGGGGACTTTGGTTAAAGTGATACTACGTCTTAGAATGAATATCAAATTTAAGTTCTCGAAAAGGTCAATATTAGTCTATATTCATCAGTTAGCTTACCTGGTGTCATTAAGTTACTACACAATCCCTGTAAAATCTAGAAAATTGGAAAATTCATAAAACTAAGTAATTATTGAAAAACGCTTAATCTTGATATTAGCCGTTTTCAATAGTTAATTGCATATTTATGGATACTTACTAAGTTTTTTTTGATTTATCGGATTATATAAGGATCCTGTTATGTTATTTATGACACCAGGTATATCTACTGATGAATATATCCTCTTATTGACCAAGTTTAAAATTCTTAAATTCTATGTTAATTCTTAGACGTAGTATCACTTTAACACAGAAAAGATTTATTGGTTCACTTTTGGTAAATTGAAATTTTGTTTTATTTGTCATCATATTTTCTGTCTGGTTTTCTCTAGGTATCTAGACAAAGAATTATTGAACCCAAAGTTAAGCTTAACATCAAGTAAGTTAAACCTCTTCATCACATGATTTCTTGAACTATCCAACCAGAACACCTACTCCCACTTTGCAACTAGATATTTTCAAAAATCTGCTGGCGGACAAGATTTTGCCAGAGTGCAAATTTCACTTGCTAGACGGAGCAGGATTCACAAGCATTAGTTGACAGGTTACACTTGCAAGACAGGCAAGCCATGTATCTCAAGCAAGACAGGCAAGCCATGTATCTCAAGCAAGACAGGCAAGCCATGTATCTCAAGCAAGACATGCAATTTTGCTCAACTACAAAGCTTACTTTGAGGGAATGATCACTATCTGCCACTAATTAAGTGTGTCCACAATTTTTAGTCCATTGGTTGTAACTGGAGGTGAGAAAACTTGTTCATTTTCTTTCAATTTGTTCATAGTTTGTTCATTGTTTGTAGTTTCATTTTACACTGTTCACACTTCAGAATTTTGCTCTTTCAATTAATTTTGTTGTGAAAAACAAGAAACTTGAAATTTCTTAAAATTTGGTTTTATGTTTCTTTAGTTAAAAAAATTCTAAATTGGTAAAAAAAAATTCTAAATTGGTTGAAAAATTTCTAAATTGGTTAAAAAGATTCTAAATTGGTTTAAAAAATTCTAAATTGGTTAAAAAATTCTAAATTAGTTAAAAAAGATTCTAAATTGGTTAAAAAAAAATTCTAAATTGGTTAAAGAAATTCTAAATTAGTTAAAAAAAATTCTAAATTGGTTAAAAAGATTTTGAATTGGTTAAAAAGATTTTGAATTGGTTTAAAAAAATTCTAAATTGGTTAAAAAAAATTAAATGTTTATGGTTTCAATTTTTTTTATTAGTTTTTTAAATTTTGATAATGGTTTTATATTTTTTTTTAATTTTTCCATTTGATTTTTAGTTTGACCATTTCTGAAGAAAAGCTTGTTGAAATTAGATGCAATAAATAATTTTATCTATCATCTTTCTATCTCTGCTTTTATTTAATATTGTTTCCAGTTTTAATCCCTTATCATCAGTCTACAGTAGTTCTAATGATATAGGTATGTATACACCCTAGAGAGTTCACAATAATATTACAAAACTGGTTGAAGGTTAGAATATGATGTGCAGTTACCTTTTATATAGTTTTGGAGGGTTTACGTTGCCCTTGTTTTTGATCCATTAGGGTTATAATACATTATTTTCAACATTTCCGAAACAACTACAAATTTCTACCGTGTTTCACTTTAGCAGATAGGAGCAGGAACAATGTCTCCTAAACACGTTAAAAACTATTACCAATTTCTACCGTGTTTCACTTTAGTAATGTCTCTTAAACATGTCAGAAAATATTACATATTTCTACCGTGTTTCACTTTAGCAGGTGAATCTCATATTTGGGATTGAGGTAATAAATATTCATATTTTTGTAAGAAGTCTCTGGCTCAACATTTTTTCAACTAAACTGAAACTATTAAATATTTCTACCGTGTTTCACTTTAGCAGATAAACCTTGTATTTGAGACCGAGGTAATAAATATTCTACCGTGTTTCACTTGGTAAACTACTGAGAACCATCGACAAGCTTAACAAGCAGTTTAGGGAACTTAAAAGTCAAAATCAGTTTTGCAATATTAATGTGAACAACCTTAATCTCCCCTGCACTATTTTCTACTTCTTTATTTTATCACTAGAGTGTTTACAAACTTTTTTTTACTGATTTGTGGTGTTTTCAATTTTCAAAGTTGTCCGTCATGAAAAACAAAAATATGTTTTAAATGGATCATTTAAAGGGACAGGTGCGCCATTTTTTTTGACCAATCATACTTTAGTCTCAGAAACAGGAATTTTTAGCTAAGCCAATCAGTAATAGTGTTCACAGCTCACTGTCGAAATTTGAGCCTTCAAATCCATGTGTGTTCAGAATTATCTGAAAGGGTTAATCCCAATTTTATGTCATGTTACTTTTCAGGCAAGTCTCCAGGATTCAACGTCGATGATTCTGACACTGAAGACAGGCCCCAAACAGGTTAGTATTCCAAATTCGGGTTAAATGATATCAGTTGTTCCTAAAGAGAGAAAACCACCTTGACCAAGTTTCACTGTGTGGCAGTAGAATAGCTCACTTGGTAGGATTGTCGTCTGCTAGGACAGTGGAATAGCTCAGTCAGTAAGTATCCAGTTGGATTGACGTCTGCTAGGACAGTGGAATAGCTCAGTCAGTAAGTATCAAGTTGGATTGACGTCTGCTAGGACAGTGGAATAGCTCAGTCAGTAAGTATCGAGTTGGATTGACGTCTGCTAGGACAGTGGAATAGCTCAGTCAGTAAGTATCGAGTTGGATTGTCGTCTGCTAGGACAGTGGAATAGCTCAGTCAGTCAGTATCGAGTTGGATTGTCGTCTGCTAGGACAGTGGAATAGCTCAGTCAGTAAGTATCGAGTTGGATTGACGTCTGCTAGGCAACTGGGTTCTGTGGGTTCAAATCCTCAAGATTCTGATTTTTTTTTTATCTTCTAGGAAGAAGAGTTCCACTAGATTCTGATGACGAATTTGAAAGTATATCACAAGTTACTGGACCTGTAAGTTCTATCATATTTTATAATTTTCTCCGTGTAAGAAGTCTAAAATTTTCCCCCTCATTCTTTTGTGTTTCTATTTTTAGAGAGAACCAGTTTGGAAATTACGCGATCCAGCAGACTCAGATGGTAAGTTTAACTCTTTGAACAAAAGAACTATTTTGTACATGGACAATAACTTAGGTTCACGATGATCCTTTCGACCAGCTTGTCTGGGGCGAAACTTCTTGGCATTGATCTTTCCCAGATTATCTGTACCCATTTACAGCTGAATGATGACTTATTCAATGTCACTAGACTTTAAACACACACCGACCGAGATAAGAATCCACAACCACCAGCTTTTTGACTGCCCTATGAGCCATGGACTGTAGTTTTGGATAACTTTCAAAAGCTCTAATATTTATTTTTGTGAACTTTGCTTTTTCAGTTGAAACCTACGCAGTGAAAGTCCAACCTATGACAGTTAAATCTGGTCGCCATAGTTACGACAGTAGATTGTCAGGTAGAAAAACCAATATGGCCTCCACTCTCCCTGTAAGATTTAGTACTCAGAGTGGTAGTGATTTCCTTTCAAGAGGTGGACAGACGTGGACTGGTGGATTGGATGAAGAGGTAACTGCTAGCTTTGGGAATTCTATTTTTAGCAATCCATCATTGGATTGGATCCTTTTGGAAGAGATTTTTTTTCATGAGATCAGACTCATTGATAAGTATGGAATTTACAACCAGTCTGGTTGCAGTGGCTCATTTATGTATACATTTGCTCGCTAACCTGATGGTGCAGGGTTCAATCCAAACATAGGTCAAGATAATACCTTCAGATTTTTTAACCCGGTTCCCCCCTGTCAGTGATGTAGGTAAGAGGGGCTGACATGGAAAAAGCATCTAGTCGTTCAGATGGGAGGCCCCTTGTGCTACAGACTGTGTATGTTACAGATCCCACGACAGTTGGAAATAGAAAAAGAGTAGGCTAACACCGCTATCCTGGCAAAATTTCCCTCATTGCACACTACAAGGCCAGTCCACAATAAGGTGCAGAAAAATAGGACACGAAACTCCATTTCATTTTTGATGCACAGAGTTATCTTGTTTTGATCTAGTCTACAGTATAGTCTCTGTTATCCAGACACGCGCTGGCTATCAACTGATAATTTTGTGTGTTTATTTTGTAGAGAGGTGGTTGGGAGGTACCTTATGATTCTGATGGAAGCCAAACAGATCTCACTCAAAGTAAGTCTTACATGTATTTTTAGGATTCTGCTAAACTGATTATGTGTATCAGGGACACTGATAGCATCAATTTACACCATTCCAATTTTCAATCAGACGTCTTTGATTCCTGCGATTCCATTAAAACTAAGTGTTTGATGAGGCAACTATTACAAGATGTAAATATATCACTTACAAACACATTACCCTTAATAGAGCAGCTTTATGTTCGTCTGCAATTAAATATGCATTCTAAGATGAGTTTTGTTGTATTTTAGCTACAAGAAGCAAGCCGTCTCGGGATCCTAGAGGTAAGAGAAAATTATTTGAAAATCATTTTGATTTATGAAGGGAGTGCGTGTCAGCAAGATATAAACCTTTGATCCAACCAGCTGATGTTTTTCTCTGCTTTGTCTTTTGATTGAAAGAAAGAAACAACTATATTTTACAAGGATAACAACTTAGGTTCACAGTTAAGGATCCTTTCTACTAGCTGGTCCTTGGCCAAACCACTTGTCATTGATCTTTCGTAGGTTATCTGTACCCATTTACAGCTTGGTTGACTGGAATAATGAGGATCCTTTCTACCAGCTGGTCCTTGACCAAACTACTTGGTGTTGATCTTTTCTGGATTATCTGTACCCATTTACAGCTGGGTTGACTGGAATATTGAGTGAAGATGACTTATTCAAGGCCATCGGACTTTCATATGCCGATCGAGATCAGAACCCACAGCAGCCATTTGTTCGACGTAACCAAGCAAATGACTGCATGTCTAACCGAACCATTGTTTCACTTATATTTGGGTTTTTTAACCACTTCCGACAGTGTTTTGAATGATATACAAATTTTTCTTATAAATTTTTTTTTTCCAGTTTATTAAAGCCTTCATCAACAGTGTATTTCATCTATTTCTTAAAGCTGTCATGTGATATTAAAAAACAACTTTAAAAATTTCAGTAGATCGATATAAGGTTTAAATAGTACAGGTTAGCTTTAAGAGGTAACAAAGAAATTGTCCATAATCTGTAACTAAGGCTGTATTAATTTGCCTCCATCTTGCAAAGTGCCTTTGGCATTTCTCTACAATATGGAAAGGCACTCTAAATTTATTATTATTATTAAGAAATTTCTAAAAACGAAAATGATTTGCTTGAAAGCAAAAATTCACCCTGATTTAGTATATGGACTCTTCTATTCTGCATCAAATGGCTTGAAAAACACATGCGTGGAAGAGTTCATTAATGTTAGAGGGGTGTCAACTATATGACTAGCACTATTTACAGTTTTTTCAAGCTATCATGTCTAAATTAGAAAGATTTTAATCGTAAATCATATTTATATACATTTATTTATTATATCTATTAAATCACAACACCAGTTATTTTTTTTTCATTTGGAAACGTAAGAAAGGTTACATTTTTATACACCCACATGAGGGTGTATATTGTAATCACCCTGGCTGTCCATTCTGTCGGACTGTCCAGTCAGTTCACATTTGGCTCTTTCTCACTATACAGATTCTTTTGATTTTGTGTGTCAATGTCATTATGAAGATTATATCTATCGAAATTCGTGATGATCGGATACTTTTTCACCGAAATATCGTGTCTGACTTGACGTTTCACTCTATTAGCTATATTGAGCAACTCGTGCTCACTCTACAGGCTAAAATTCTTTACAGATTCTTTTGATTTTTATATGCCCAAACGTTGAATGGAAGCCTATTGTCATCCGTCCATCTGTTCACAGTTGGCTCATGCTCAATGTACAGGCTACAAATAATGATTTGTACTCAATCAAAGCTGCTAGTTGGCGTATGTTACCTTGCCTGGCAAGCTATCTTATTTCATTTTGGGAGGGAGGGTGGAGGGGGACATGTATTAACTGTAGTTATAACGTTAAAGATGGGTTCCCTTATTTTCATTTATAAAAATGAAAATGCTAATACTTATATGAATAGAAAGTAGATGTGTTCTAATGACTTGGAAAAATACCAGTTTGTCTCACATGTCTATAATTAATTCATAATTAGCTAAATTAGAAGAGAATTACCAGCAGAATTCCAATGAATGACCGATCAAGAAAGGTCAAAAAGTCATTTTTTGTTTATCCAGACTGTACATACATGGACATTTATGATTGGTTAAAACTCTTAATTATATGCAATAAGAACATAATGATATGATTAAGAATACATGATAATTCATTAGAAACACCAATTAATCAAATAGTTTGCATAATTTGACACTAAAAAATAAGGAAACCCATCTTTAAGTAAGGCATTTTTCTGTAATTTATCCATAGGTTTTATCGAATTACTCTTTCCAATCCCAAAGAGCATTGTATTAATCTGATTTCTTCAACCTTGTACAATAGTTACCTTGCTAAGAGCTATGCGTCGTCAAGATATTTAGCAAGCATATAGTTTTGACGGGTAGGTGCTTGTAGAACCCCGATGTGGACGAGATATTGTTGAAGACCAAAAATAACATTTATAGGATGAATACTTTATTTACATGTAAATATATTACTTAAGGTGCGGGCACACGAGCAGTCTTGGTCGGAGACTTTTGTCGCCGATTAGAGTCTTGTCTTGAGTTTCAACGACCGGTTGCGGGCACACGAGGAGACAAAAATCTCAAGTCGGTTGTTTTACATTATGTTGATGATCACTTGTGGATCAGTCAATTGAAAGGAAAATGAATCTGATTGGATGATGACGGTCTGTCTTGCAGACGATAAAACTATCAGAGACAATTATCAAACTTGTTTGATATTTTAAATCCTGTCGGCGACACGATAATCTTGTCGTGGAAACACAGGCACACGCTAGATTTTACTTAAGATTCGAGTCGGAGACAAAAACCTAGACAGACACAAGAAGACCACTTTCTTGTATTCACAAAACTTCATTCTAATTTTGTCTGCGTTTCCTTCATGAACAGCTAGAAAATATCCTTCTCTTCACAAAAAGGCGGGAAAATTTTGGTATTCACTTAAAAAAAAAGGCGGGAAAATTTTGGTATTCACTTTTAAAAAGGCGGGAAAATTTTGGTATACACTTTCAAGAGGCGGGAATATTTTGGTATTCACTTTAAAAAAAAGGCGGGAAAATTTTGGTATTCACTTTCAAAAAAGGCGGGAATATTTTTCTATTCACACAAAAAGGCGGGAATATTCTAACTTCAATGGATAAAGGCGGGAAAGTTTTAACGTTCACATATTGAATCACTCCTCCGATTTTAAGACTTCTGTGAGTTGTTCCTCATTTTCGTGAACCCATTTTTCAAAGGAAACCGGATGTCCGTAGATGTTGCGAGTCAGTTTGATATCCCCCGATTGTTTGGGACATTGATAATATTCAAATAAGGCCGCCATATCACTCGCTCCCTTGAAATGAAATTGTTCATAATCTTTGATACGAATCTGAAAGACAAAGTTTAAAAGGCATTTTTGGTAATTGAAATGGTGGTCGTGGGTTCTAATTTCGGTTGCTTGTAAAGGCATTGGTAATTAAGTTTGTAGAACAAATAGTGATCGTAGGTTCTAATTTCGATCGGCATCTGAAATTCTGCTGATATTGAAGTCACCTCATATTTCCATTCGATCCAGCTGTAAATGGGTACAGATAATCTGGGATTGATCACTGCCCGTAGGTTTGACCAAGAACAAGCTGGTAGAAAGGATCCTCATTATTCCAGTCAACCCAGCTGTAAATGGGTACATGTCTAGATCAATGCCAAGACTTTTGGTCATTTCATGTCGATTCTACTTACCTTCGGACAGATGAACCGTTTATCTTCTATCTGTTTCGTCAGGACCTCGGCCATGTGATGAATTGTGATCTTCTCGGCCGACAGGTTAATAGTTTTGTTCAGGTATTGCTTGGGTCGGCCCATTATGACGTACACAACTTTACCAATGTCCGCTATACTCATACAGTCTATTGGTATATCCTCTAAAGGCAAGGCTGAAAAAGTTGTTACATTAAAGGAGGGGATTGGCTTTAGTGGTGTATAGAGACCATTTATGGCTATCATTTGCACCCTGCCTTTGTTCGCGTTCGATCACTTGCGCCGCGCTTCCACGACAATTTTACTACGGCATTTTTTGACATGCGCAGTGCAAAAATATTTTGGCTTGCTCGCATTGTCCGCCATCTTCTCGCATCACACAGGGATACCAGGGGTGGGTTACTTTGGTCTGGCACGAGGAAGCGCGTTTGATGAATTCATTGCTCAAACGAACGCTTTCGCGCTTCAGCGAGTAGGCTCGGTGCAAGTAATCGAACGTTGTATTTATCCTGTGCGAGTTATAGAGTTGCGTCAGGTGTGTCTAAAGGGAGACTTTGCTGTGGCTCGCCCTTCTCGATCTCTACCAACAGAATCATTGGGTGTCCAGAACGGAAAGAAAGAAACGAAGACATGGCAGTTTCTGTCCAACCGTTTCGACCAGGTGAAGAGTTGCTTTGATGTTTCTTAATGAATTATTGAGTTGCGCTCTAGTAATGGACTGACGATTGGCTGCTTACCTAAAGCGTATGTGTCGGGTCTGATGAAATGTGGTTTAAAAACGCTGAGTAGATTCTCGTATAAAAATGGTAATCGTAGAAATGTGTAGTTCATCGTATAACCTGAAACGAACAAAAACAGATGTGGCTTCGGCATCTTGGATCATCCAAAAATCTCTTCGTGGAGTCTGAGATGGGTGTACTCAGGTCCTCAGCTTGGGTCAACTGGGGTTCAGATTCCATTTATACAGGACGCTTTGTTATAGCTTTCTATGAACTCGGGTGTGTTTTGAATGGACAAAGTTTGGTCCTCGCATTCAAACTCGAGGCCTTCTGAAAATTTTGGTCGCGGACCCCGATTTTTTAGGTCTGAATTATAAGTCGACCAAGATATGATTGGGTCAGGGAGATGTTGAGATGTCGAAGGACTAAATCCACCTGTCAACCTCAATGATCAACACCAAGAGCTCGTCCAATGACCAGCTAGTAGGCTAGATACTTCAGGAACCTACTTCTCCTTCTTCTATTGGTGAAGAGTGGTAGTAACTCTCTTTGGTGATGCAGGTCGGAGGAGCTGACATGGAAAAAGCGTCTAGTCGTTGGGACAATAAACCGAGGCCCCGTGTACTACAGGCTGTGCACGTTAAAGATTCCTCGACAGTTGGAAATAAAAAAAGAGCAGGTTAATGCCGCTGTCTTGGTGAAATTACCCTCATTGCGCACTGCATGACGTAGCCCGTCTTCATTAGCACACTTAGGACGTAGGACGTAAAACTCCATTCATTTCATTTCTTTGAAGGGAATAGTGGACCAATCCTGGTGTTCTCTTCTTACCTTGACCGGGCTGACATTTCTCCATAATATATTCCTCTATTGCTGATTTTGACTCGAGGTATCCACATTCCTTGTCCATCATCCGTTTAGGATTCTCTCCTCCGTGAAATATGATGTGGTTTACTCCGGCTTGGACACACGCGTCCACTGCGTTCATACCCTATTAAAATGTCAAAAGACTTTAGGATTGGTAGGGCTTAAATGGACTCAGGACTCAGGACTTGGGCAAACGTGCTAATTCAGAACAGTTGACTCGTTACACTGATCATAAAGATGTCTTTGGGCAGAGGATCGTCAAAGCAGACTATAGACAGTGGATTGTTTGACAGGATCTTTGGGAAATAGATGATGTATTGGTTGATAAAGGTACTTTTGGGTCTAATATACCTACCACGATAGTACCTTGACAATGTACCCATGCTTTGTATGTCACAGGTACCAAGTTACTTATGGATGCCTGTTGACAATGGAGCTACGACCATAATTGGGCATGACAAAGGTCAACAAAGACCTGGACACCCGAAACTCTGCATTACCTGCGTGGTAAATATCAACCACCGGTATTGCGAATGCTTCAAGTTCCTTTCTAGCAAAACAGGCTTTTTTAGGTTTTTAAAAGTACACAAGACTTGCCTGGTGTATTTCCTTGTCTTTGTTGAAATGTTCCCAGTAATGTGTTGAAAGAAAAACACAGGATGCTCCGCTTAAAGCCCTCTCCAAACTTCGTGGATCATTCAGATCCGCCGTTGCTATGATGACACCTGAAATTAAAGAATTTTACAAAACTAAATTGTAACACTCCTGCATCTGTTTTGCCGGCGTTTTGCAGCCTTAAAGCTTTGGTCTTTAATGGTTTGATGCCAGATTCTAAGATTTCATACCAGAGTAACGTAATAAGATAGCACAGGTTCGTCATGATAAGCTTCCGACGCAATGGCCAGGACCTCTCTTGTACGACATTGTCTCCTTCAACCCATAGTGTCCAAACCACACTCCCATTCGTCATTCTAAGACTATGTCAAACACCGTATTCGGGATACGACGCCTTCAACCTAAAGACAAATCACTTACCATCTTCGGCAGTTCGATGTCATGTAGCATCGCTGATAGGTCCTTGGTCTTTAGAATCCTCTACAGTAATGCCTTGACCAATGCGTTTTCGTGGTTAGAATCATTGGAGGATCCCTTCCCCGTAAAGACTAATCACTTAAGTTTCTTCAGTGGGGTCCTTGGACGCAGTTTAAGGCAAAATAGTTATAGTCACTTACCATCCTCAGCTAACTGCCTAGAAGCATCGCTGGTGGGTGTTCTGGTCACAGCCTTCACCTTGATCTTCTGACTGCTCTTCAGCAGGGCCTTGATCACCGATCCGCCGACCATACCCGTAGCCCCAAACACCACGATGTTCATTTTATCGAAATCTCCAGAATCTATACTAGTTCCGCACCCCATTCTGAAATTAGAGAGATATCAAGTTTGGAAAGATGCTTATGCCAATACTGGGGATTGTACCGTACCAAAACACATCTGGAGGGACTGACAGGGAAGGGGTGTCCAGTCGTTAGCATGGGACAATAAACTAAGGTCCTGTGGGCTACATGGTGTGCACGTTAAAGATCCCTCGATAAACAAACAAAATTGGTACCTAATGCCATCGCCCTGTCAATATGTCACCCATTGCACACTGCATGTCCGTCTTCGTAAACCCAACCAGATACAGTGCGTTTGCGAATATGTCAGAATATATTGATCATGGTTTGAAATAGCGCTATCCTGGCATAATTTTCCCCATTGCACACTGCATGCCATCTTCTTAAACCCAATCAGATAGAGACAAAGGACGAAAATCATTTCATTTCAACCCATTAGACATCTAAGAATGTATTGATCATGGTTTGAAATGGCAACGTAACTCCGCCGTTTCTTATCAAAGCTGTCCTGGCATCCCTTAGTTCCTTTGTCTATTGATGTGTTTCGCCTTTCGAGCGAAATGATGACAATGAAAACCCATTAGCATATAAAAATCGATTTCACAAACATCGTCTATAACTTATTAAAATAATATAAAAACCTTTTATGGTTTAATGGCATGGAAAAAGCGTCCAGTGTGGTTAAGGATCCCTTGACATTTGGTGTAAATAAAACATTAGACTGAGGCTACTGTTCTAGTTAATTTCCCTCGTTGTACACTGTTGGGTTATGATCTCAGTCGGAGCTCGAAATTGTGGTAACCTTGAATGAGTGGGTACAGATAGATAGGGAAAGACTTCCCCTGTCTTTCGTAGTAGCTGTACGCAGACAAAGTCGGACTTGATGATAGAGGATATAGATTGCTATCCTTACAATGGCTTCTTCCTTCCTTTGCGTGAGTGTCAACGTGGCCTGATTAGCGGTTTAAGGTTTTACTGTAATCCCTTAACGAGGTGCTAATGTAGTGTAATAATATTTTAAGTTAAAGTTGGGTTTCCTTATTTTTTAGTGTCAAATTAAGCAAACTATTTGGTGTTTTTAATGAAATATCATGTATTCTTAATCAGATCATTATGTTCTTATTGCATATAATTAAGAGTTTTAACCAATCATAAATGTCCATGTATGTACAGTCTGGATAAACAAAAAAAGACTTTTTAACCTTTCTTGATCGGTCACTCATTGGAATTCTGCTGGTAATTCTCTTCTAATTTAACTAATTATGAATTTATTATGGACATGTGAGACAAACTGGTATTTTTCCAAGTCATTAGAACACATCTACTTTCTATTCATATAAGTCATAAATATAAATAAGGGAACCCATCTTTAACGAGGTGCTAATATAGTGTTCGAATGTTTCTGGTTAATGTTGTGGGTCAGATTTAAAGATCTTTTATTGATATCATCGCAGTAACATCGCAGCGCGATTGTGGTTGCTGAAGCGCGATGTTTTCTTTGATTTTAGAGCTGCCTGTTTAGATTTGCTATAAGGTACAGAACGACAGCATATCAGCCCACCTAGCCTTGGGTTTGGACACAGAAAGGTAGCACACAAACTCACCTATCCAGTGTGTTCAAGTTTGGTTGACATGCTTTCCTAGTGTGAATGTCAACGTGCCCTTACTGATCAACGGTTTAAGGTTTTACCGTAATCCCTTAATGAGGGGTTATACTGTAACCTGATATAATTCTGTTATTTTCTGGATACTTGTAGTGATTCAAATTTAAAGATCCTCGCAGCTGTTAAAAGGATTAGCCCGACGAAACTCGGACGTGATACGGATGTGACATCGGCACTGTCACATTTTATGGTTGCTCCGATCCATTGTGTCACTATGTCCCACTACGGTTTTTTTTTACCATACTTTAGTCTCAGAAACAGACATTTTTCAGCTAAGCCAATCAGTAATAATGTTCACAGCTTACGTTGAAATTTGAGCCTTCAAATCAATGTGTGTCTAGAATTATCCGCGTTTGAATGTTAAAATGACGACTCGTCTTTTCTTGTCATATATAGAAAAGACGTATATAGAAATAGTGTGTAAAATTCCTAGTTTGAAGTATATTTAAAGGAATTATGTGATTTTGTACATTATTTCTGAAAACTATTTACATATATTCAAGGCTAAAATACCCCCCCCCCCCCCCCCCAAATGCCGCATCTCTCCCTTTAATTTGTGCTTTGCTTACATCATGGATGGAGTATGCTTTTCATGTTTTCTTTAGCCAAATCTTTTTGCGATCTTATGCTTCTTAATTCACGTTCATTTTAAAGGTCACTTTAAACTGTTGTTCTTCTATGGTATACGAGTGTAAATAAAAGCGTAAATGGGTATTATTGACGATAATGCCCTATTCAGCTGGGCAATATCATGTATTATTATGTATTATAATGTTGGTTTTGTTATAGCGTTATAATACCAGCTATAACCGCACCGTATAACTTTTCTTTTGACTTTCTCTAACAGGTCGATTGGTTGTTTCTTTTCTCGTTAGAAAGACATTAAATATGAAATTGAATTAAAGGAGCCGTCCCTTGAATTTTTTATCGACATTTTTGAAATTTTCGAACTATATATTCAAGGGGCAGTAGTCACTATATATGTTTGTTAAATGAAATGAATGGAGTTTTACGTCCTACTTTTCTGTACCATGTCGGCTAATGAAGACTGGCAGCGCCATGCAGGGTGCGATGAGGGAAATTTTGCCAGGACAGCGGCAGGAAAGCCTGCTCTTTTTCGATTTCCAACTGTCGAGTGATCTTTAAATTACACAGCCTGTAGCACACGGGGCCTCGGTTTATTGTCCCATCCGAACGACTAGACGCTTTTTCCATGTCAGCCCCTCTTATCTACATCACTGACAGGGGGAAACCGGGTTGAAAAATCCGAAGTTATTATCTTGACCTATGCCGGGATTGAACCCTGGACCTTCAGGTTAGCTAGCAAGCGTCTATCTCACCGAGCCACCGCAGCTCCCCCTATCATAGTCGTAATAAAACGATGAAATGAAATGGAGTTTTACGTCCTTTTTGCACCATGTGGGCTAATGAAGACCGGATGGAAATAAGCCGATTGAAAAGGTTTTGACGTAAAAGACAAAAACGAAACTACTGAGAGCTGTGTACGTGAAATATCTTTAGTAAAATTTCCTCCATTGTACATTGCAGGGTGTTGACCGTCTTTATTAGTCCAATCAAATACAAATGATATATGATTTACACTCCATTTCAATTCAATCCATTTTTATGCGTTTCTTTACTATTTTGGAGAAAACTGAATTTGGAGTTAAAGTCGCAGTCCGTCGTATTTCCTTTCTATATCAGAATTCTATGGATCATTTGATAATAAATTTCTCATTAAAAATAGATTAAAGTTGTGTTCCCTTCGGAAGTTTTAATGATTCAACTCTTTCTATTTCCTTAATTGCGTTTAAAGAGTTTTTAACGATATATTTCTCGTTTAAAACAGGTTAAAATTCGATATGGGAATGGTATTTTTTAAGACCGTGACACGATAAATTTTCTTATAATTGGCTTTAAAAAGAGCTAAATCCAGCTGTCTGTGTCGCTTTTCAGAATTGAAATGCAACGTCTGGTCTGTCAGTACTTTACAATTTGTATCTTCAAAGGAATTTTTAGTCAACAGGATTTTAAGTCAATGAACTTCTGGTTCAACGTAAGTTTGTAAGTCTTAGTAAATGAATTTTTAAGTCACCGACCTTCATAGTCAACGTACTTCTAAGTCAACATACTTCTAAGTCAACGGACATCTAAGTCAACGTACTTCTCTAAGGCAACGGACTTCTAAGTAAATGAACGCCTAAGTTAACTTACGTATAAGTCAACGTACATGTACCTTTAAGCCAGTGGGTCATTAGTCACCAAGTCAACGTACTTCTAAGTCACTGAACTTCAAAGTCAATTGACTTCTCAGTCTAAGTCACTGAACTTCAAAGTCAATGTACATCGAAGTCAACGGAATTCTTAGTCAACGTACGTGTACCTCTAAGGCAATGGGCCTTTAGTCACTAAGTTAGCGTACGTTTCAGTCAACGTACTTCTAAGTCAACAGACCTCTAAGTCAATGTACTTCTAAATCAACGGACATCTATGTCAACGGACTTCTGCGTCAACGGACATGTACCTCTAAGCCAATGGGCCTTTAGTCACCAAGTCAAAGTACTTCTAAGTCATTCTAAGTCAATTAACTTCTTAGTCTAAGTAAACAGACTTCTAAGTCAATTGACTTCTTAGTCTAAGTAAACAGACTTCTCAGTCTTTCTCAGTCTAAGTCAATTGACTTCTTAGTCTAAGTAAACAGACTTCTCAGTCTAAGTCAATTGACTTCTTAGTCTAAGTAAACAGACTTCTTAGTCTAAGTCAATTGACTTCTTAGTCTAAGAACAAAGTACCATTAAACGAACAAACCTTCGATTATCAAAACTCATGAACACTAGGATCGTCTGGAATAGCTCCTTTAAGGTCCTTAACGGTAGAATTGTTCTAAAGAACGTAGCAATAAGCATGCTAATGGAATTTCATCGATTTTTTTTGTTTCTTTGATTAAAGAGCTAGGCTTGAAGACAAAGACCAACCTGCAAGAATCGATTCTCTCGCTAATTTTTAACATTCTTTGTCATGTCTTGTTCATTTTACGTAAACAAACGTGTAGTTGAAGTGAAAACCATTCTATTTTGGTTATTGTTTTGTTTTTATATGGCGTGTGTCATTTCAAATAAGGGAAAAGACCTCTTACACATACTTGTAATCAAGCCTTTTTGAACTTTTGTCTGTACCCCTACCATGTAAACAAACTTCAGTCTGGACACTTTTTGTGTAAACAAACTTCAATCTGAACACTTTTCTTGTAAACAAATTCAGTCTGTACCCTTATCTTGTAAACAAACTTCAGTCTGTACCCTTTTTGTGTAAACAATGTCCAGTATGTACCTTTTTGTAAACAAACTTCAGCCTGTTTCTTTTTTGTGTAAACAAACTTCAGTCTGTACACTTTTCTGTGTTAGTCTGTACCCTATCATGTAAATAAACTTCAATTTATCCTGTAAACAAACTTCAGTCTGAACCCTATCTTGTTAACAAACTTCTGTACCCGTTTTGTGTTAACAGACTGCTTTTTTTTATTCCTATCGTGTAAACAAATATCTGTGTGTACCTGTGTTTAGTAAACTAGATCTGTACCCCCAAGTGTGAAAAACCCTGTCCGTAAACAGTTCTCTATCTATCATCTTATCTTGTAAACAAACCACTTTCTGTCACCTTATCTTGTAAACAAACCACTTTTGTCACCTTGTCTTGTAAACAAACCACTTTCTGTCACCTTATCGTGTAAACAAACCACTTTCTGTCACCTTATCCTGTAAACAAACCACTTTCTGTCATCTTATCGTGTAAACAGACCTCTATCCAATCCCTATCATGTAAACAAACTTCAGCCCTTTCCCTTTCTGTGTAGTTAACCCAAAAGAAAAGGGATAAAAGTGGTTCAAACTTACCTGTAAACATAACTTCTATCGTTAAAGCATCGAAAGAGTCCTTGCATGTCAACCGAAGTAAACTAATAAAGATAGAAAGAGTCGTCAAGTGTGGTATATCAATTATTCAGCCGGGCCGTTATTGTTATATACTTCGATTGTTCAATATTGCTTTATGAATTATATAGCACGATAGCTATACACTTTTTCACTTATATTTTGCATATAAGAGCACACGTGGGCGGGACAGGGCAATGTTTTGTATTATAGGGCATAGTGCCTTGCTACAAAAATTGATATTGAATCGCGTTGTCTCCAAACTAAGTTGAAAAACGCAATCGCAGGGCGGTAGTAGGTGATGTCCATCTACAACAGTGCCTGAAGAATTAGAATCTAAATTTCACAGACATACCAAATTTCACACTGAAAAAAGTTGGCAAACGCAATCGGAGAGAGATAGTAGGTGTTGTCCATCTACAACAGTACGTCAAGAATTAGATTCTAAATTTCACACTGAACTAAGTTGACAAACACAGTCGCAGAGAGATAGTAGGTGATGTCCATCAAATTTAAATGACAACGGAATGTTGTGCACTAACATACAATAAAGACACTGAATCCGAACGTAGTCGGAAAACACAATCGCAGAAAGGTAGTAGGTGATGTTGTTCAGCCTTAAAATCCGTTACTTTCGGCCATTCGGAAGTTTCCGTAAAGCTGGATCTATATACTGCAAAACTCTCGTGGAATTGTCACGGTGCGCCGGTTAGCATTGGATGGTTTAGAAAATACTCTCCTATAGAAGCACTGGCCAAGATCACAACCAGTTTCAAACGCGCTGGGACATATCTCCCCGACAAACTAAAGTCGTCTGTCGTTGGAACGTTCACACGCAAGTATTGGTATACGATTAAGTTATCTGCTCACATGTTTAGGCCACTTCGAAACAAGCTTACTATTATAATTTCAGATTTTCGAGCATTATATATACGTTAACAATGTGCTATAATCGCATTAAATATAACAGCTATATCCGCCAAAATACCACAATTGGTAGACGATCGATAAATATAAATCTGATATTTTGGCGTAATTTTCATATCATTTTCCATAATCGCAAAGACCTAATCGACTTTGAGGTCTTTTTCAAGGCGTAAACGGCCAAAATAACTGTCCTATGACTGTTCATATTGAAAGAACAACTGATATATAGGCGTGTTTGGTTGTCAAGTTGAGGATTTTTTTAATATAGATATTTAACAATGCGTCGTTCCAATGACTACCTTTAGATAATACAACTAACTTATAGGCTTAAAGGGATTCTACCGTCTACATATTTTCTTTACAAATTCATAGAGTTCAATTTCAGTTATCCGTATCTCTTTTCCGTATCTCTTTTCAAAACTAAAACCCGACGTCATATTCTCTATTCTCAATGCAATTACAAAAAAAAATTACCGTGGTAGTTCAAACTAACATCACTTCAGCGACATTATATTTCTGTAGAGTTAAGCTCGGTTCAGCCACACATGACACTTTTCAAAATCACAACCCGACGTCCTGTTTGTTAACAATTCAAAAGAAACGTACCGTGGTAGTTTAAACTAACGTCACTACCGCGAAATTATGTTTCTCTGAGAATGGGTTCTAATCAGTCATACATTACACTTTGAATAATTAAAACCGGCAGCATGTTCTCCTACAATTCAAAAGAAACCGTGGTAGTTTAAACTGACGTCACTTCCGCGACATTATCTCTAAGAAAGAGTTCTATCAGCTGATAAAGAAAATATTTAAACGTTGAAATCACTTGAAAGCAAATCGATTAACATTATAACAGTAAAACCATTAAGCATGGGATAGTTGAAGAGATTATTAAAGGGATTGGCAAACGAATGGAGTTTTACGTCTAATTTATCTTTTTATTAATTCTCGCAAGGCTCAAGTTAATGTTTCCCCTGTCAGTGATGCAGGTATGAGGGGCTGACATGGAAAAAGCGTCTTGTCGTTCGGATGGGACAATAAACCGAGGCCCTGTGTGCTACAGGCTGTGTACATTAAAGATCCCTCGACAGTTGGACATAGAAAAAGAGCAGGCTAATGCCACTGTCCTGGCAAAATTTCCCTCATTGCACTCTGCATGGCGTTGCCTGTTTTCATTAGCCCAATCAGGTACAGCAATGGGGATGTAGTAGGCTATGTGAGATAGTCACAGCCAGTGTTTTCGAAATTTACTGCTTTGAAAACGACTCCCTCCCCCTCCATTTCTTAAAGAAGTTATTTGTTGTCTGAGTTTTGAGTTACTTCTCATTCATTACAATCATAGGTAATTAGGGGGTCTATTAGGGAAAAATAATTTTCAGGCAAAATTTTGGTTAGCAGAATTGTGTAGTACAAAAAAGCCATATTGAGCGAGTTTTTTCGGCTTTTTTAGCGAAAGAAATTAACTATCAACAAATCGGTCAAATTTTTCAAATTAAAGTCATTTCTTTCAAAATTGAAATTTTCGCCTATCCCTTACATGGCCTCAAATTTATTTGTCCATCAAAACTCTCGCGAGAGTATCAGAGATATGGCGAGACATAAATCCAAAATGGTTGCCACTAAGCAGTTAATTTCGTAAGTCATTGATAAAAAATCCATTAATTACGTAACCCACTCGTTAATCAGCCTTAAAACCCATGGAACTTATAAGATGGAAGTTTGACCGTTTTAGATTTTCTATGTCATGGTTTAAAAATGATTCTGTGTGCCATTTTGAAGCGGACACCTGTCGCCACTCTGGCCCTTTTTTGTTATTTGTTTTAAACACCCCCTCTTTCAATCTTTAATGTAAATCATGGACAACTAATACCATACAAATAACATATGTAATTTTGATAAAGACAATTTGAAAGCTTAGAAATTCTGAGAGTGGCCATGGCTAAAATTTTGACTGTTGGGCCAAGTGACCAAGCCTGTCTGTTGTCTGAAATTTACAAAAATTCCAAATCTTTAGCATCCAAATGATTGAGGGTCCAAATTTATTGCCAGATTATAAGTCTATCCTATAAGTTTTGATTATTCTACACTAGAAACATGCTTCCTTCCCTTAAATTTCATATGGAAATGGCATTTAAGACTGAAAACTCTCTTCTGGAAAAGGAAAATGTACCAAACTTTTCATCAGTTGGTATTTTAATCTAGCTGTAGACTTTTTTACTCTGTGCTGAAATAATTTATCTCATTGCACACTACATGGCATTAACCTTCTTTTGTTACAAAGGGTGCAAAGTAAAAACTCCATTTCATTTCCCCAAAAAATCTATGCTTAAAGGGATAGATGCGCCATTTTAGGGGGTTGATTTAAGTATGATTGGTGAAAAAAACATGGCCAACCTGTCCCTTAAAAAAACTAAAATCAATTTTATTTGTTTTATTTTAGAAATGTGGACACAAAGTACTTGAGTAATTCTTGCTGAAAGGACATCATGAGTTTTATAGATTATGGCCAAACGGCCGAAGATCACCAGTCTCTGCTAGTTCTGGTACGACACACTGGAACACACATCACCAATCACACCTTCTTACCAGCCTGGGAGAGAGTTCGAAAAATAAACTGCATTCATGTAGAGGGACAGAAACGTAATGTGTTTGTACGATACAAACGCACATATCCAGTGGAAAACAATACATGGGGAGATTTCCAAACGCATCGAAAAGTTCTTGGACTTGTGTCAATCGGAAAGTGTTCGACGTCTGCTGAATTCGAGGCCCTTTTTGAAGATTATAAAAAAATGAAGGAGAACTACGCGAACACTATTTATAATTCACGATTAATTGTGTTTGGTATGAACACCGATGGAACACCATTTTTGAACGAAAACACCAACTTGAACTCTAGTTCAAAACCAGAACTTTTGAATGATAAAAATGATAATGTGACCAATGAAATGCAGATGTCACAAAATGGCGACATCAAAAAAGAAAATAAAAAAATAGAACAGAAGGAGACATTACAACGGACGCATAGCAACAGCCTCACGAAGGAATCGACGGGGGCAGAAGTTGTGTTTTATCCTGATTTAGACTCGGCAAAAGATTTGGAAGAGCGTCTACGAGAGTTTGTGACATCGTTATTCTATGTGTTGGAAGGGAAAAGGTTAGACCGATCGTTTGAAAGAGCTGATAGGTTACAGCTACTATGTGCACCCTCCGAAGTTAAAGATTTTGTTGGTGTAGACACTGACACTAGGTAAGGTTTCTATTTTCTATAGCTTTTGATTATTGCTTATCTTGATTAATCAAAGGGTTATAAGTCAGATGATACATAACCTTTGATCCAGGAAGTTGTTTTTATTGTCGGTAAAATAGTGAGTTTCTTTTTTCTTGTAAAATCCTGCGAGGAGATGTGTTTTGGGTTCAAATCCTCAAGATAAAGATATTCTGCTTCCATGGCCGGTGTTTCCCAGAGTTTGCCCAGTATCAACTCACACCCCCATACCATTTATTTTTCAGGAGCTTTAAGAAGAAGTGTACTGGAAGATTAAGGAAACATCTAGCTGATCTGTGTTTACAGGCTGGTATGCCAGGGGAGGCCATCTTACATTACCAAACAGCTATAGATCTTCTGCGTAACGTCAACGATTTTCTCTGGATTGGAGGTAAGGTTTACCCTCTGTTTGACCAATCATACTTTAGTCTCAGAAACAGGAAATTTGGAAAGACCCAAATTAACCCCTGAAAATGACGAACCTGTCCCTTAGTCCCTTCAGCCATTTATTCATTCCCCCATTATATCATTCATTCATCATCAATTCATTCATTGTCATCATTCATTCATTCACTGGTTTGTTCAGTCTCTTCTTTCATCAATTCATTGCAGAAGAGTAGGACGAAAAACTCCATTCATTTCATTCATTCATTCATTCATTCATTCATTCATTCATTCATTCATTCATTCATTCACTGGTTTATTCAGTCTCTTTCATTCATTCATCCATCATTCATTCATTCATTCATTCATTCACTGGTTCATCCATCCCTCCATTCATCCATCCATTCATTCATTCATCCATTCATCCATTCATCCATTCATCCATCCCTCCATTCATTCCTTCATTCTACTATTTCAGGATGTTATGAAGGATTAAGTTCGTCATCTGTGATCATGGCTCATCCTAAAATCTCTGCTGCTGCCTCCATTAAGCGTAATTTATCTTTTACTGATAAACGCATGGCCGCCATTAATTTAGACAAAAACAAAGCAGGTAGGACAAACTTTTCTGGGGTGGGGTGAAGTTGTGGTGCTTGTGGAGGTACAGGGGAGGGCGTTCCCCCTAAGAAATGGTGTGAACCCACAATTTATTAATTACCATTTTGGCCTCAAGATATGTGTCAGAATACATCAAATCAAATCTGCAAAGAATTTTCAGGGAGAACTTTCTTAGTTGCTCAATGGAGGTTTGTGCCTCTGCGCAATCTAAGTTATTATCCTTGTAAAATATAGTTGTCTCTTCTAATTGTCTTTCCAAAGTAAGATGTAATACTCCATTTTGATTTTGGTTTCAGCCACGTTAACTAATAGTTTTGCTAATGGTTTAGATCTTGCTGATATACCAAATGGTCCAGGTTTAAATCCAGAAGACATCATAGAAAAATATAGAGAAGCCATTACACACTATAGTAAGGTAAGGGCCATTTTTTACGTAAATCCAGGAAAAATCAATGCCAAGAGGTTTGGTCAAGGACCAGCTGATAGACAGGATCTTCATTATTCCAGTCAACCCAGCTGTAAATGGATACAGATAATCTTGGAAAGATCAATGCCAAGAGGTTTGGTCAAGGACCAGCTGGTAGAAAGGATCCTCATTATTCCAGTCAACCCAGTTGTAAATGGGTACAGATAATCTATGAATGATCAATGCCAAGAGGTTTGGTCAAGGACCAGCTGGTAGAAAGGATCCTCATTATTCCAGTCAACCCAGTTGTAAATGTAAACTGTTCTTAGGGGTCACAAGAGAATAAAAAGTCATTATTATAACCCGGGAAAGATCAAATACAGTTTGATTTATTGAAATTTTCTTTTGCTTTTTTAGTTTAAAACTGCTGGTAAAATTGAAATGGAAGCAAGTTTAAAAGCTTGTCGAGTTCTCATTGGTCAACGGGTAAGTTTGAAAAAGTTTTATGGAAATGGTTTTATGAAATAATTTTAAAAGCGGTTTTATGGAAATGATGATTGTATTAAAATTGTTCAATAAAAATGATTTTAGGAAATGAATTTCAAAGTGGTACAAATGGTTTGATAATGTTAATGAAAATGGTTTAATGAAACCGTTTCTAAACCAGTTAAATGAATTCGAGATGGTTTTATGAAATGTTGATAGCAAGAAGATGATTTTTATTAAAATTGCTTTCATTTATTATGAAAATGGTTTGATGAAATGAATTGTTAAAAGTGGTTTGATGAAATGAATTATTAAAAGTGGTTTGATGAAATGAATTGTCAAAAAGTGGTTTGATGAAATGAATTATTAAAAGTGGTTTGATGAAATGAATTGTCAAAAAGTGGTTTGTTGAAATGAATTGTTAAAAATGGTTTGATGAAATGAATTGTCAAAAAGTGGTTTGATGAAATGAATTGTTAAAAATGGTTTGATGAAATGAATTGTTAAAAGTGGTTTGAAATGAATTGTCAAAAGTGGTTTTATGAAATGAATTGTTAAAAGTGGTTTGATGAAATGAATTGTCAAAAGTGGTTTGATGAAATGAATCGTTAAAAGTGGTTTGATGAAATGAATTGTCAAAAGTGGTTTTATGAAATGAATTGTTAAAAGTGGTTTGATGAAATGAATTGTCAAAAGTGGTTTGATGAAATGAATTGTTAAAAGCGGTTTTATGAAATTTATGTAAACTTCTTATTTGTTTACAACAGTTATATCAAACTTATATTTTTTTAATACGGTTTCATTCTAAAATGGTTTTATGAAATTATTAGGGTTAATTATAATCTGAAGATCAAGGTTATCTGTGCTGATAGGGTTGAGGCTGATAGTGTGAGATTCAGATTGTTAATTAAAGATCAAAGGGGATTATCAGGATTAATTGATTAAGAAGTTTATACTGGAATATTAATGAAGCCATGAGGCTACTGGATGGATTAGCTTTTGATTAAGATATTTTATCATTAATTTAGACTTATAAATGATGATTTGGAATATGAAAAATTTAAAGAAAGTAACTGTTAAAATATTGAATATTCTTTGGAAATAAAATGAATTTAATCTTAACTTCTTAAAAATCAAAAATTTATAGAAAAATCCAATTCAGAATGCAAAATGGATATTTCCAAAATGAATATTCAAAGAAAATAAAAAAAATATTCCATTTTTGTGAGAAGAAGTGTGTTATACCATACTATAATATATTCACTTGTGGTTTTAAAGGGATACAGTCGGAATTTTCGGGGATTGATTTGGTTCTTGAATGTGCTTTAATAGTCTTAAGAAATACTAAAACACACGAAAATCTGGTTGGTTGGTTGGTAGATGACAAGTTAACGTTCGCTTCCAGTGGATGCTGATATCGCAAACTAGGTAGTTGTTGGTAGTCGTAGTAGTTGGTTGTTGGATTGGATCAAATTGGATGATTTGGTGTTGTTGGTTTGGTTGTTGATTCTTCGTTAGATCTGGTCGGGTCGAATGACATGGCGGTGAAACTCGGCCCTGGATGGTGTGGCGTGAGTTACTCGGTCTCCTTCATTCTTCCAAACTCGTTCTGATCATGGTATTTCTTATTGATTGGTAGTCGAATGGTACACACGAAAATCACATAACCCCTTTAAATATACCTCAAACTAGAAATTTCACTGTCTATTTCTATATATGTGTTTTCTATATATTGGATAGTCTCACTAAAATTCCAGTTGAATTTTTAACTTTCAAACGTGATTAATTCTGGATACACAAGGCTCAAATTTCGACAGTGAGCTATGAACACTGTTACTGATTAACTTAGCTAAAAAATTCCTGTTTCTGAAGTCTCAGAATCTGGACTTTTTTAGCTAATCTAATCAGTAATAGTGTTCATAGCTCACTGTCAAAATTTGAGCCTTCAAATCCATGTGTGTCTAGAATTATCTGCGCTTGAAAGTTAAAATGACGACTCGTCAATTTAAGATACACTGTGATATATAGAAAAGACATCTATAGAAATAGTGAGTAAAATTCCTAGTTTGAGATATTTTTAAAGGAATTATGTGATTTTCGTACATTTCTAGTACTTCTGAAGACCATTTACATATATTCAACACTCAAATCAACCCCCCGAAATGCCACACCTGTCCCTTTAATGTTAAAATCAAACATTCCTAAAATGAATTTAAGTAAAAAAAAAAATGAAAACCTCTTCTTACCTAACTTCATCTAAGAGTTGAACTTGGAAATTATTTTTGTCAATTTTTTGAAGAAAAAGAAAAATCTACTTACCTGACTTAATTCTGAAGTTGAAAATTTAAAAGTGAAACCAATTTGCCGCAGAAGTGTAAAATTATGATAGGGCAATCCAAGATTAAGCTAAACTTGGTTAATTGGTTGATACATTGGTGTACATTAGCATACCAGGGAAGCCACACTTGGCCTCAAGAAGTCTACCATGACCTTTGTTTTGATAAGGATAACTCCTTCCCTTACCTGAGGACCTCAAGTCAGCCCCATCCAAGCCTTAATCCTTTTTGATTGTAAGGATTTACCCAAACTGAAATCCAGAAGCAATCATTGCCATCATGGGTCTTTTGAATTATCAAAACAATGTCATCATTGCCAGCAAGAAAGCCATTTTGAGTTAATTTTGGTGTTTAGTACATATACCAGCAAATTTTCCAGAACTAACATCATTCTAGATTCACCACTCCACAAGAATACATCAGACACCATTTTGTTTTTTGTAAAATCTCACAATGTCTCAGAGTTTTGGAAGTGGGATATATATCGACGAACGGCAACTAGCGTCGCAATTTTCACCAATGACATTACCCATGATGCAGTCGCCAAGTTTTATACCAGTCATGTCACACTCGACGCCAGTGGGACTCCTACCCAGACCACAACCAATTCTGTCAGCACATTTGTCACCATTGAACTTCAGCAAGTTATCTCCCTTAGCCAACAAGACGTCTGCTAGTTCCAGCTTCAGTCCATTGTCATCATCCAGTATCGAATCTGCCTTTAGTCCAGTTGACAAATCCAGTTCTTCAAACTCATCACCAGCCACTCAGAGTTATTCCCCTTTGAATTACCAGTCTGCTACCATGACGCCACCTACTGGATATTTAAGCCGTCTGCGTTCTAATCCCATGTTTCAAGATTTACAGATGCTTTTAGCTCAAGAATGTAACCACTTACAGGTAGGTTCTGAATTACTTTCTTATTCAAAGTTCAAATTATTGGGGTGTAAAACTCTATTTTAGATCTTTGGGTTTTCTGATAAAATTTGCTTTCAATTTAATCTTAACAAATTCAATTTGAAAAGCCCACATGAATTTTACTTAAGTAACTCTTTGATTGCTTAATTCCCAAAAATGCTCAAGGTATTTGTAATTTCTTGTCAATTTACAGGTACCAGCCAGTCTTATCACCAGCCAGTTAGACTTCAGTTCCCTCCAATCCCCCAATTCCACAGAAGCAGCAAGAGAACATGCCACAGCATCTGGTCAACAAGTCTATGCCTTACACACGCAGCTCCAAGACAGATTCCTGCGACTACATGGTGACAAAGATCTTCATGGATACAGCCGAAAGATGGAAAGTCTCTACTGCTCCGAAGTTGGCCGAATTGAAATGCAGAGATACCAGTCTTTATGTACCAGCTTCTCAGAACAGTCAAAATACACAGCCAACATCCATTTTAACAAAGAAAGAATCACCCTGGTTGAAAGAATGCAGAAAGAAGTGGACATCATCACCAAGAATCCATCAACACAGCCTTCCACATCCACTCCAGTATCCAGCCAGTCTAGTTCTTCAGTGTCATCATCAGAAGCAAGTGATTCCTTAAATGAACTCTTTACTATCCCACGTCTGTCTGAAGCTCCTTCTTACACCAGTTCCAACACCTCAGCGTCCACATCCATTGAAGAATCTTCAATGTCCTCTTCATCAGCTCCAAGCAGTACTAGTTCCTCAACCACCCCAGAAGAAAAATCCACAACACCAGCAGAACAGAAAGCCAGAACTGGTCGCCTCCTGAGTCCAGAAACCATCCAGCTTCTCACCAATTGGTATGAATCCCACATGACTTATCCTTATCCAAGTGACGAAGATGTAGCTGAACTCTCTTCCAAGGGTGGACTGACGCCAGGCCAAGTTAGAAAATGGTTAGCCAACAAAAGAGTCAGGTCCTTCAACACCCTGTCCATCACCGGTAACGACCATCCCATCAAGTATAAATACAGAGGTAAGAGAGGCTCAGAAGGATCTTCAGAAGCACCAGCTGTCAGCCGTCGACCACAGTACAAGCTCCTGAGTGCTGCAGCCAAGAAGATCCTGACTGATTGGTATGAATCCCACAGTGAGAATCCTTACCCAACCGAAGAAGAGAAAGATGAATTAGCAAGAATTGCCCAAGTGTCCCCTTCCCAAGTCAAATCCTGGTTCGCCAATAAAAGAAGCCGCAACAACAACACAAAGCGTCAAGTTCCCAATTATTTTATCAAGAAGTACCCTGGTTATACCCCTATTGTGGAAATGGTGTCAGAGCAACGTGCAGCGAGGAAGACCACTGGTAAAATTGTGGAACGAGTACGTATGGATTTGTATCAGCCTTACAACATGATCTAGAGTGGTTCCCCTTTGAATTGTTTTGCATCAAATTGTGCTTTCGTTATTGCGTGTGTGAAAGTGTTTGTTATCACTTGTAGTGTGTTGACATTCTGACATAGTGTGTGTTGACATTCTGACATAGTGTGTGTTGACTTTCATTGGCATTTGAAAGCATGACTGACATTGACTTGGCATTTTGTAAGCCCCACCTTTTTTTTTGCACATTGACTTCTTTAGCATTTGAATTCACATGGCATATGATTGGCATTTTGTAAGCCCCACCCCTTTTTTGCACAATGTGTTGACTAAGCAATTGTATTTATTTTTTATTTACGTAGCACCCGAGTTGACTTTCGATTGGTATTTGACCTTTGACCTGTATGATAGTGAATGTGTGTTAGTTGTATTTGTTAATATTTGTTAATGGTATTGTTAATATTTGTTAATACTATTTATTGTATATATGTATATATTGGAAGATGTTAATCCTATTTCAATGTCTATTGCAAATAAAGACAAATCTAATGAATTTTTAATTTGATTCTTTTCATCCACTCCAGATTTTTACACCTACCATCTGTGATCTGATGTAATTCTTCTTTAACTTGTGTTCTGTGCAATTTTGACTAGCATCAAATGTAGCTTACCAAGTCGGCATGCAATACAAGTCCTTGAATATCCCTCTGAATATCCCAAAATTCCACATAACTCAACATGAATGACGACGTTGACAGATCATGGATGACAAGTGAAATCACCCACAGTTAAGAAAACCACCAACAATTTTTAACCTCAGCCCAAGATAAGTGTTTACCTGTTAAAGTGAAACATGGTTAAAATAGGTTTTTTGCTGAACATCTGTTAATTTTGTATATTTCAGAAATATCTTCAGGCCTCTGATTTTCTACAGAATGTTGTGTACATTGATCTTAAAGTTTCTGAAGAAGACAAGGTACATTGCAGTATATTTACATTAGCTATTAATTTTCTCCATTGGACATAGGCAAATTGGTGTGGTGTTTATATCAGGATAAACGTCATTGCCTCATCACCAAAACATTAGGCGTAGTAATTTTAACCAATGACGTCATTGTATCAAATAGACGGTCTCCAATGTAAACAATCATGTCGGTAGTCCCAAACATTGAAACATAAAGAAATAGGCCCTACTTAAATTCATACTAAAGTCTTTGTATCAAAATTAGAATGTCTTGAAAACGTAAATATAAATAATAAACTGTTACCCTATGGTGGTTATGGTCGTATATCAGATCAAGGGTTGGCTGGAAAATTAATCATAAACGCACTTACTCGCATTTATTCACTTTTCCAGCCAACCTTTGACCTGATATACGACCATAACCGCCGTAGGGTAACAGTTTATTGATGGAGTAGAACAAATTGTGGAAGAAATCTGTGTTATTTCCCTCATTGCACACTGAGTGGGTCTACTATAATTGGTCTTGTTTCAATGTTTCAAATACTTCTGTTTGCAGATTCAAAGATTTGGTACTTTGGCCACGCTCTACACTCAGATAGGGTTCCATAGAAAAGCAGGATTTTTCAAGCGTATTGCAGGCATGCAGTGTGTGGCGCCACAGACCTCTGCCTGGCAACAGTGCTACCAATTATTACTACAGACCTTACAGGGCTACAAGATATTCCTGGAAACGCGAAATACTCAAACCACAGGCTCAGGTCAGTAAAATTTCAGGGGAACATCAGAGAAATAGGGAGCAGACGGACAGAATTTAATTATCAAAATGCAAATCTGAATGTGTCATTTCTAGTTTTTACTGAGGGTGACTCCACTTGCCATCCATGATCTAACGAAATTGTTATGCATCTCATGTTCTGAGTCATTTAGCGGTAAATTCAAATGTGAGGAATTATGGGATATCCTCTTGTTTCAGATTCGAATAAAGGCTGGCCCACACTACGTCATAGAATTTTAACAGAGTTGGTGTACGCTGCACGGAGAATGGGAAATCCTCAGCTAGCTGTCAGGTAAGATAGAAACAACAAGGATAGCCTCATGAGAATCCTTTCTACCAGCTGGTTCAACAGGAATAATGAAGACCCTGTCTACCAGCTGGTCCTTGGTAGATCTGTACCCATTTACAGCTGGGTAGACTGGAATAATGAGGATCTTCTCTACCAGCTGGTTTTTGGTAAAGTTGTACCCATTTACAGCTGGGTTGACTGGAATAATGAGGATTCTGTCTACCAGCTGATCCTTTGTAGAATCTGTACCCATTCACAGCTGGGTGGCCTGAACTAATGAGTGAAGATGAGATGATGAAATTATTTTGTTTATCTATTTCAGACATATGTCTTTCCTTTTACACACCATGTTTGAACATCTGTCAACAGCCGAACGTCGTGAAGCTGTGACCGGCTTGATGTCCTTGACCTCTAAATGCGAGGGGTCAGCACAATCTATAGCATTAGACAATGGTCAAATACTACCACCAGTTCCCCTTACCAAATTCCCTTTAGTCAAGTAAGTAACACCTGATAGCATATCGCTTTTGTGACCTTTCTTGATCGGTCACTCATTGGAATTCTGTTGGTAATTCTCTTCTAATTTAGCCCATTATGAATTAATTATGGACATGTGAGACAAACTGGTATTATTCCAAGTCATTAAAACACCTCTACTTTCTATTCATATAAGTATTAGCATTTTCATTTTCATAAATAAAAATAAGGGAACCCATCTTTAAGAATTTTGGTCTATAGCTCCTTTCTGTTTAGAATTTTTTTATAATTGTTCATTTAATTTTCCAGAAGTTTTACCATAATGAATCTACCTCCCCATCTACAGCCAATAGAAAAAAATACAGACCCTAATAAAAAACCTGATGTCTTTATATTTACACCGATACAACAGACAGACAAGGACAGTAACTCTTTACAGTCGAAAGTCAGTAAGTAATCTGGGTTTTCAGAGGAGGAAGGAAAGGTGTCTGATTTTTTCAATTTTCAACAAAAACCCAAAAAACTCAGTCAGAAATCAAAACAAAGAAGTCTTTAGCATGACCTAGAAAATTTCCCTTATTGCACACTGCATAGTTTCTTCACTAAACAAGTCATGAACAGGAGGTACATATGATTTGACTTCTGCAGGTCAAGATAAAAATTCATTCATTTTGTTTATTTGGTGCGTATTGTATTCGCAATTATATAGTAAAGGAATCAAATTCAAAATGGCCATCATGTTGGTTTTTTTTTGTAGGTTTTGTGTGGGTGAAAGATGAAATTTGTGAAGTTGAACTATATGTTGTGAATCCATTACCTGATGAACTTAGAATATCGTACATGGTAAGGTGTTGCATCATGGTTGTTTTCATGTGTGTTCATAATTACAAAACAAAACCTAGACATGTGTAGGTGCAAGCGTGTTGATTGGGTTGTAAAACCAGGTGACATCAATATTTGTTATCTCCATAATAAAGGGCTTATCTGCTAAAGTGAAACAAGATAAAAATATTTTGTAGTTCAGGTAATCTGATTGGTCAAATCAAGTTTTATTATCCAATCAGATTACTGTATTTCATTAAGATCTGGCGAGCCATTTGATTGGTCAATTACATAATCGGTTGCATATTTAAAATAATTTTTATTAACCAATCAGATTACTGTATTTCATAACAATCTTACAAGCTATCTGATTGGTCAATTACATAATCGTTTGCATATTTCAAATAATTTTTATTAACCAATCAGATTACAGTATTTTCTTAAAATCTTGACGTATCTTAATTAATATCTTGTGAAACAATTCCAAGATGATGCATTCTATTTCTGTTTCAGGCTTTATTAACAGAGGGAGTTGAAGTGGAAGTGTTTCCCTCAAACCCTAGCATCCCATCAGAATCCAAAACATCTTTAGTCAAACTACAATGTAAGCCTAAATCTATAGGAGATCTCAAAATTATAGGTAAGTTTCATTCATCCTTCAATCATTCATTCATCCTTCAATAATTCATTCATCCTTCAATCATTCATTCATCCTTCAATCATTCATTCTTCAATTATTCATGTTCATTTGTTCATTCATTCTTTCACTCTATTCTTGTACGGAAAATGTGGAAAAAAAATCTATGCCAAGCGATTTGGTCAAGGACCAGCTGGTAGAAAGGATCCTCATTATTCCAGTCAACCCAGCTGTAAATGGGTACAGATAATCTAGGAAAGACCAATGTCAAGAGGTTTGGTCAAGGACCAGCTGGTAGACTTGATCCTCATTATTCCAGTCAACCCAGCTGTAAATGGGTACAGATAATCTGGGAAAAATCAATGTCAAGAGGTTTGGTCAAGGATCAGCTGGTAGAAAGGATCCTCATTATTCCAGTCAACCCAGCTGTAAATGGGTACAGATAATCCAGTAAAGATCAATGCCAAGAGGTTTGGTCAAGGATCAGCTGGTAGAAAGGATCCTCATTATTCCAGTTGACCCAGCTGAAATCCAATCCAATCCAATAATCCAACAATCCACAATTCATATCTAAATCTTAAAGAATTTGTACCACTTATATTTGCAGGTTATACAACACATGTATTAGGTGTAAATAGTAAATGTTATTTAAAGCACCTGCACCATTTAGAAAAGAAGCCAATGACCGTGGAGGTGGTACCAGCTCTCCCTCAAGTGACACTCAGATCTTCCTTACCCAAGGCTGCCAATTTCTCATCATTGGGAGATGGTTTAAATGTGGTTGCTAACTCCAGTATTTCTGTCTTTGCTGGACAAAGGTGAGTTATGCCCCTTTGATAGTCTGCTATGATTCTTGTTACTTAGGAGTCCAAGATGGTGGCTCTTGATTGGTGATTCTGCTTGTTCAGGATTCATGGAATCCACCAGATGTTAATAAAACAATTTGGAACAGGGTTCCTAATCCGTTTAGACATCTTCACAATGTCAAACTATTACAAACTCTGTCTTATACTTTGACTGCTTGTATCACGAAATGCAGAGATTTGATTGGATTGCACGCTAGCAAATACAACCAATCAGAGACCTTGGCAGAAAGTCCAGAAGGTTGGGATCCAAAGCTCTGGCAAGATTTTGAGGATTTTGTCTTGTATTACAGCCAGGAATGTACCATCAGTTTAGAGAATGTAGGAAAAATACCAGTATCTGGTGTAGCAGTAAGTGTCAATAGCAAACCAGAGGTCAAAGGTTAGTTCCAAAATTTTTCTATCAACCCTTTTGGGAGCCGTTGTGGCTCAATGACAATAAAACGAGGATCCGTGTGCTACAGGCTGAAGCATCTTGCTTGCACAGTCTGATTTGGTTACTTGTGCTTAAAACTGGCTTGTCAGATTGCTTGGTATCCTAAAATCTAAAAAATATCTAGAGCCACTCTCTGACTAAAGTTCTCCGGTTCAGGACAGAATCCTGCTAAGATTTTTATTGGACACAAACCAGGTGTTGGTATTCATTACGAATTTTCCGTTTTTTTGTTTTTTCAGAATTTGTGGACAATGTGTTGTCATGGAGTTCAGAAAATATCAATTCTCAACTTCCCTTGTCACCCATGACAACATTATGTTTCTCTGTCTGTTTCTATGGTTACAGTGACTTCCTGTCTCCAGAAAGTGCATCGTCAGGTATGACTATTTACTCAAATTAACACAAAACGAAATAATTGACAAAAAAACTAATCTGATAGCATCACTATGTATTTTAGATTTAAAATTCATCGTCATGACAACTAATTTAATGGCTGCATCTCAACTTTATTTTGTAGAACTTCCTTCGCCAGCCTATTCCAATAGATCTCGTTCTGACTCTTCAGAAAATAAGGTAAGAATAGCCAGTTTTTAATCAATTTATGTATGGCAGAAGACATAAAAACACTTGTTAAATATGATATGATGATATATGGCAATGATACAAGTTACATTTTCCATCATTGTACACTGCATGGCAATAATGGTTGCTTGCTGACGAGATTGTCTCTGAGGTTGTTTTATTATATAATTCAGAGATTCCACATAGCTAATATTGTTTAATAGGTATTTGAGTTTGTCGTCTCCGCAACTCTTTCAGAGAGTCCACATAGCTAATATTGTTCAATTTGAGTTGGTCGTCTCCACAACTCTTTCAGAGAGTCCACATAGCTAATATTCTTAATTTGATTTATGTATTCCAATAAGGTACAAAACAGAAGGATGTAAAACTCCATTTCATGTCCTCATTCTAGGTGTATGAGGTATTATTGAATATAGACTACAGACAGTGTAAAGAGTACAGTCGTCAATGTTCTATGGTCGTCTCCCTGGATATTTTACCATCTGTCTATATAGTTAATTGGGATGTCCAGCATAGTGAAAGGTAGGTGCTCCATCATTAAAGAGATTGTAAAGACGTTTCCAAATTTTTATGTGTATCAGGGGCACTGATAGCATCAATTTACACCATTCTAATTTTCAATCAGACGTCTGTGGTTCCTGTAATTCCACTAAAACTAAGTGTTTGATGACGTCACTTATTTCCAGGGGTCTTATGTGATACAAGCATATTTAGCGATTTGGGAAATTGCAGGAACCACAGATGTCTGATTGAAAATTAGAATGGTGCAAATTGATGATATCAGTGTCCCTGATACACATAAAAAAATTAGAAAACCTCTTTAAGTTGATACAAGGGGTTTTTTGATGATATGAATTGCTTGCAAGTTGTGATTTGATTTATAAAATTTTACATAGTTCTAAATCAAAGATCATTTTCCCCTGTCAGTGATGTAGGTAAGAGGGGCTGACATGGAAAAAGCGTCTAGTTGTTCAGATGAGACAATAAACCGAGGCCCTGTGTGCTACAGACTGTGCACGTTAAAGATCCCTCGACAGTTGGAAATCGAAAAATAGAGTAGGCTAATGCCGCTGTCATGGCAAAATTTCCCTCATTGTACACTGCATGATGCCTGTCTTCATTAGCCCACATGGTGCAGAAAAGTAGGACGTAAAACTCCATTCATTTCATTTCGGAATCAATGATCGTGATTATATTTTTCAGTTGTGATAAATGTGTTGTGATATTGGATCTACAGAATGTATCAAATCACGAAATGGAGGTGGAATATTGTGTCAATAAAAAATTAGTTATAGAACCTCAGCAATGTAGAAGGTAAGTGCCTATTATGTTAGAATGCATGTGCGCTAGAAAAAGGGGTGGAGCTTAGGGAGTTATAGGTGGGGTTTAAGTGTTGAAGGTGGAGCTATAGGTGCTAGAGGTTGGCCAAAGTAGCCCCATCAAACCAAACAAAGCTTTTTATGATGTCACTATCGCAAAAGCTTCAGATAATATCTAAGGTAGTGATTTGTGATTAGTGACATCATCAAACTTAGTTTTAGTGGAATTACAGGAATCACAGACATCTGATTGAAAATTGGAATGGTACAAATTGATGCTATCAGTGTCCCTGATATACATAAAAAGTTTAGAAAACCTCTTTACAATCCCTTTAAATGTTATATTTTTAAGTGTTTTTTTTTTACGCCTGTGTTAGCCCTACATCTTTATTTTCAACACAATATACTTTCAGGATAGCAATAGAAATACACAGAGTAGAATTTCCACCAGAACTGGATAACCAAGAAGAACTAGTTAGTCCTAATCTACCAGTCTGGTCTAGTGTCAAGAAAGTTAATCATTTTAGTTCTTACTTGAGTAATTTTATAGATATAAGATGGTCTATGGTATCCTTTTGAGGAAAAATTGCATCAAAATTTTACAGGGGCGAAAAAAAGAAATTTGGGGGAGGGATAGAGGATATTGACTGTCGGCCATTTGAACTGCACTGCTGGTCATGACCAGCAAATAGTGCCAAATCAACAGCCCTGTCATTTGCACAGAAGTTTCTCACATAAGTAGGTTCCATCATATAGATGCTTTCATCAATTTAGCCCCAGTCTTTCTGGATTTTTTTGTGACATCTGTCAATCTTGTGTCAACAATTGTTACCCTTAACTCTTATTAAAAGTCATCGACAAAAGTGAGTGGTAAAGTTTGTATAGATTATTTAACATGGTCTCGGTCTCAGTTAGAAATATTACAATTACCTGCAGTCAGATGGGGTAAGTTGGTTTTTAAAAAGGGGTGGAGCTAAATGATTTAGGGGGGGGGTTGAGTGTTGAAGGTGGAGCTAATGAGATATGGGCAGAGTTTGAGCTTTAAAGGTGTAGTTAATGATGTTCTGGGCATAAGGACGCAAAATTTGAAGTGTTGAAGGTGTAGCTAAAAGTGTTAGGAGGTGGGACTAATGTTTCATGGGCAGGGCTAAAGTATTGAAGGTGGAGCTAAGGATGTCAGAGGTTGGGCTAAAGGTGGGAGAGGAAGATCTAGGATGTTATGGCCCAATCCTGTTAAGCTAGGTATCCTTTGACAAATCATATTTTCTTCAAGTCATAGGCCTGTTGTTTAAATGTAACCAAGCAAATGATGTCATATCAAGATTACTACACTCTAACCCACTGTGGAACGGCCCTTCCTCATTTATTCATATATCTGTTAATTTTCAGAGGTGAGATTAAATGATCAGCTCTTTTTGTCTCCTGATGTGCCAAAATTTACCACTGGAAAAATTATCCAAGTTAAAGCCACCATCTTTAATGATGCAGGTAAATTAAATTTTTTGGCACCATTGTCATTCTCACGCTTGGTTTATTAGGGATAGTGTAAATAAACTGAGTGCGAACGCTCTGAACCACGAAACAAAACATGAAATCCAAAACAACATATTGGTGAAACATTAGTAGCAGCTAATGAACTTTTCATATGAGGAAGTATATCAATCATATTATAATGAAAAGTGGTATCAGGTGTTCATACATGGATATATCAGTGTAAGATATGAGGCGCTGATGCAAAATGACCTACATGATAAGTGCTGGTACGATACATCATTTTAAAGATGGGTTCCCTTATTTTTATTTATGAAAATGAAAATGCTAATACTTATATGAATAGAAAGTAGAGGTGTTCTAATGACTTGGAAAAATACCAGTTTGTCTCACATGTCCATAATTAATTCATAATTAGTTAAATTAGAAGAGAATTACCAGCAGAATTCCAATGAGTGACCGATCAAGAAAGGTCAAAAAGCCTTTTTTTTGTTTATCCAGACTGTACATACATGGACATTTATGATTGGTTAAAACTCTTAATTATATGCAATAAGAACATAATGATATGATTAAGAATACATGATAATTCATTAGAAACATCAATTAATCAAATAGTTTGCTTAATTTGACACTAAAAAATAAGGAAACCCATCTTTAAGATACAAGTAAAGTATTGTATCGTATCGTATCATGTGATTTTGTATCAATAACTTGACATCATCCATATGCAGATGAAATTGAAAGTAAAGATCAATTCTTGATTGTAATTATGAGAGCCTACCAGTGATGAATTACACTTAATTTCCTTTATTGCCCACTGCATTGCATTTTCTATTTTCATTTGCCCTGTGAATTGATGAAAAATTGGATGTAAAACTTCGTTTAATTTGGTTTTAGGTGGTGACTGTCGTGACGTTCGGTTGTCTGTTTATCCTAACCAGTGTGTGGAAGGAGCAGGGGGAACAACTGTGCCAGTATCACCCAATAATACTGATATCTTATCTGTGATAGACTCTCATAGTATCTTTTATAAATTGGTAAGTATAAAGCATGTGCAGGAGGCGGGACTTAAAGTGTCAATCACAGTCATATTTTAAAGACCACACCCATTTCTCTAAATTGGTGTCAAATCAATGCCATAACTTCTGTCTTTCACATGATAATGCAAGCTAATTGTGATGTATCCTTACAAAATGTATCAATTGTCAAACAAACATGAAAAAAATGCATAATTTTGTAATTTTTTCTGTTAAAATGTAATTAGATGTTTTCATTTCAGTTTGTTACTGTTTTGTTATCATTGAAATTGTTATTAATTCTTTTTGTTATTAATCTTCTTGAAAAATTTGTTACTATTCTAATGGGTAGTATTTTCATTGTGTTACAATTTTTTTGTTACTGTTATGATTTTCAATTTGTTATTCTTTCAGTTTGTTACTCTTTCAATTTGTTACTCTTGTTTTTTCAGTTGAGTGACAAGGATTGTGCTGTTATTGTTTGTGCCTTTATATTTTTTTGCCCGGGGTTGTTTACATTTGACATTTCCTGTTGCCATAGCAATAAAGACTTGGATATCCAGACATGGAGGTGTTTTCCAAGACCTCAAGTTGTTATTGTTGACTAGTCTCTTTCATCCAGTGAGATAGTGTGATAATTTAATTCATTGTTAAACGAGGCTGGAGGCAAGGTGTTCAATTTGAGCATGTGAAGTGTTTGGTTGGCATACTATATCTTAGTGCAAAATGCAAAATATGGTAGTTGCCATACATCAAATTGGCAATTGCATGGTTGGCAATAAGTTACACCAAGCATCATTGGTTATGTCACTCAAGAGAGCTGTGCTGTCATGTTTCCCTCATGGCATACTGCACTATTGAGCCCAAAATGGAGTAAAAAATACGACTTTAAACTCCATCTCTGTTGCTTGCCAGAACTTCGAAACAGCTGCAAATACATGTATCAAAGCGAAGTCCATATATCGCGATCGTATCAGGGCATGATTGAAAATACCAAAAACACCAAGACAACTTATGCCAAACTCATGCCAGACTATATTTTGAAAAAAATTGACCATCTTGCCAAAAGTCTCTTTGTTTGCCCAATTGTGGTGGCAAGCCTGAGTTCGGATATTCCTCTTAAATAATCAAGTGTGCAATTCTTATTAACAGAAGTGAACTTTACAGTTGTTGTGGTTTATCTTGATTTACCAAGGTATAGACCTTATTCACATGTCAGCCATATTGAATTCAGAATGAGACTCATAACGAAAAGGTAATATGGTGTCACTGCAGTAAAATTACCACCTTGACGTCTGTAAAGCCTCCTTCTCCAGTCCTACTAACTCAAAACTAATTATATTTGACATCAATAAAATCAGAATTCATGAAGCTATTCAATGATACTTTCAGATGAATTTTACCTTCACACATTTCTGAGAAAGGGCCCATTTTCTCACTGTTGATCGGGTGTTTAATGACGTCAAATTGGCTATTCATTCATATGACATCATCTTATCAATGGACGACGTAATTTCTGTTATGAACCTTGCTTTCAGTGTCTCAGGCATGAATAAGGTCTATAAGGAGATTATTTCCATCTAACCTTTGACCTACAAATTGATCAAAATTACCAGTACTATTTAAGGCTGTATCCAAATTGCAAAAATTCTGAAAAATTTAATTTTATCAACAAAATCAGTAAATGGCTGAACAACCCAACTTGGCTAACTGTATCAAAGGTTATAGATGGAAGAAACTCTTACTACCTTTGGGAAATCCAGATGTCTAGGGGCAAGGATCATAGTTCATCAGAAGAAGACCTTAAATGCATCTGTTAAAATATATATTTTGTTTAACAGTGGGGTATATCATGGGTCATAATTTAAAAAAAAAATTCAAAATTTTTTTTTCTAATGCTGAGGCACAAGAACACTCTTGGTTGGTGATTTTTGTCACCGACTAGAGTCGTGTCAAGAGTTTCATCAACCTGACTGGCTGCGGGCACACAAGGAGACACAAAACTCCAGCCGTCATTTTCCAGTATGTCGATAATCACCAGCGGATCATGTGATTGAAAGGGAAATGAATCTGATTGGATGACGACGATCTGTCTTACAGACGATAAAACTATCAGAGATAATTATAAATCATGTCAGTAACACAATTACTTGGCATGGAAGCGTAGGCACATGTGAGATTTTACTCAAGATTCGAGTCGGCGACATAAATCAGTGACAAAGACTGTTTGTGATCCTGCACCCTTAGAAGAAGACCTTAAATGCATTCGTTGAAATATTTTTTTATTTTTGTTAACAGTGGGATATATATCATGGATCATAATTATAACAAAATTTCCAAGTTTCTATTTTTTTTTTTTCTTTTTTTTCTTAAAATGAGAGTTAGCAATTCAAAATATTAAGAAATCTTCCTTAATGCATGAATATTTTCTGATTCCTGGGAAGGGAGTGTTTAACTTCTCCTAGTTGTACAGGCGTAGGGTGATCCTGGTAGTGCACGTAGAAGTTTGAAGATCTAATGATTTCCTGAGTTACCCTTTGATTTGATGACCTTTAAAGGTTCTTTTTCTGTTAAATGCTGTTATTAACCTTTGAAGTTAACTAAGGGTTTATTAAATTTCAAAGAGAGTTATACACCTTAAAGGAATTATAAAGAGGTTTTTTGTAATTTTTATGTGTATCAGGGACACTGATATCATCAATTTACACCATTTTAATTTTCAATCAGACGTCTGTGGTTCCTCCAATTCTACTTAAACTAAGTTTTTCATGAAGTCACTAATCGCAAAGGGACTTATGTGATAAGCATATTTTTGGATTAGTGACGTCATCAAACACTTAGTTTTAGTGGAATTGCAGGAATCACAGACGTCTGATTGAAAATTAAAATGGTGTAAATTGATGATATCAGTGTCCCTGATACACATAAGAATTAAGAAAAACCTCTTTATAATCCCTTTAAGGTGTATAACTCCCTTTGAAATTTAATAA